CCACTTGTGGTGGGGGGCCCCCAACACACCCCTACCCATTGGCCTGCCAGGGAGGCCAAACAACCGTCTGCTGACCCCTGACCTAGCCTCTGAATCCATACGAGGAGGGGCTAAAGCCTTTGTGCCCTTGTGAAAAGAGGAGGGGGGCTGGTGGGGGAGGGGAAGGGAGGAGGAGCAGGGGGAGGAGGAGCAGGAGGAGGGGGAGCAGGGAGAGGATGCAGCTGAGCCCAGCAGCACCTCTGGGGGGATGCCCAGCCCTGCTCAAGACGGCCCTGCCCCGAGAGGCCCCCGGGGAGGGGCTCGGAGCTTTCCATGTCAGGCCCCCTGCAAGGGAGATCAGAGATGACTTCCACAGAAATGTGGGAGGGGGTGATGCAGTGGGGGCATAGAAGGCCAGGCTCCGGCCAACAGATCAGCTGTAAGCAGGTGAGAGGCCACTGCTTTGAGGAGCCAGGCCACTCCCGGGTCTCCATCTGGAGAGGCCGCCATCTCTAGGAGGCGGAGGGGGAGGGGAGAGGCAGGGGGAGGGGAAAGGAGGGGGAGAGGCGGGGCGGTGGAGGGGAAGGGAGGGTCCTGCCCCATCCTGGACCTGGCCTTCTCCCCAGGACACTTGCAGAGCTGGCTCTCCTCAGGCCATGTTCTCGGCCACAGGACAGCAGGTTCCCCCGTCCGGGGGATGCTGATGGAACCCTGGGCGAGAGAAGACACCCTACTGCCCCCTCCTCCTCTGCATTCGGGGTCTTCAAGCCGAATGTGGTGCTGACAGTTTGGAGAGTCCCTGTGTCCGAGTCCAGTGGCTGCTGCACAAATGACCGGCTGGGGGCCTCAGCGAAGGGGTCCACCCTCACACTCTGGAGGCCAGAATTCCACACTCAGGGTGTTGCTGGGGCCCCAGACCCCTGGAGGCACTGGGGAGGACCACCTCCGGCCTTCTGCGGCTCCGTGTTCCTAGGTTTGTTGCCGCAACCGTCCGCCCGCTGCCTCCACTGCTGCCTGGCTGGTCTCTATGTGGCTGTGTCCAGCCACGCATCTTCATGCAAGGACACCAGTCGCGCTGGACTCAGGGCCCACCCTGACCCAGCACGGCACTGTCTGAACCCTATTCCAGCTGCAAATACTCCATTTCCAGCAAAGTCACATTCTCACGTTCCCAGGGACACTGTTCGGCCCAGTAGCCTCAAGGCTTTGTCTCTGCCGGACCGACGTTCTCCACAGGAGCTAAGGTGGTGACCCTGCTGGCTCCCACGCCCCCTCCTCTGGGCCCGGCACTCCTGAAGCTTGGGGACACCGTGGGAAGGACATGGCACCCTGGCCCCATGAGTCCCACTGGGGGGCAGGAGAACCCAGCCAGGCGATGGGGTTGGGGAGGGTCAGGAGAGCTTCTCGGCAGGCAGGCCCCAGAGGAGAGCCTGGGGGTCAGTAGGAGTGGAGATGCAGGGATAGAGACGGGGCCGGGGAGCACAGGGCAGCAGCAGAGGAGGGTGTTGGGGCAGGAGCTGTGGGGACCTCAGGGAGGACGAGGTTCGCTATGCATGCTGGGAGAGGGTGGCTGTCCAGGCGAGAGGTGGTAGCCAGTGTGGACTCCTGGTCACAGGCCACCATCTCTTCACCGCTGCCCCCTGATGGCCTCGCGACTTTCAGGCTCTTGAAGTGGGGGCTGGAGGCCCAGCTGGTCCTTGGCTTTAGCCTGCTGTCAGAGGCGGCTCCTGGCTACAGAGCCTACCCACTCCCCTGCAGCCGTGACAAGGGGCCTTGAGGAAGCCGTGGTGCCCTCACTTCCACAAGGGTGAGTGGGCCCTGAGCGCTCTCTCTGCTGCCTGGTGGATCCTTCGATGTTTCCCAGGCAACTGTTTCAACCCAGCCTGTTTGCCTGGAGCTCCGCATGCCCACAAACGCCACCACCTGGCTCCAGGCCAGTTTGCCCGCTTGGCACCCACAGGCCAGCAGGTGTGGCCACCTGGGAAAGCTGGGCTCCAGCTCTCAAGGCCGGGCTGGGCGGCGCAGGCACCAACAGGGCACCCACAAGGAATACAGGAGCCCAGTCCCCACTTCCACTTGGCAGTCGGAGGCTGCCACTGCTGCCACAGGGCTGGTTGTGCCCGCCAGCCTCAGGCCCTACTCTGCCTGCCTGCGCCGTCTTGACCCCACTTGCCGGGTGCCCTGATGGCAGAACTGGCCCTCAAGCAACCAAAGGAGGGTATGGGAAAGCCAAGTGGGGCTCGGACCTCGCCAGCCAGCTGGGGCCCAGCCGACAGGTCTTACCCTGCCGGCCTGCCTCGGAGTTGGAGGCCTTGTTGTGGGTCAGTCAGTGGCAAGACCCACTCCATGGAGAGGAGGGCAGAGCGGAGTCACCAGGCTCCAAGGATACCAGGAGCCCAGACATTTGTGGCTCCTGGTTGTCGGAAGGTGCTGGAGAGGTCTGGACCCTGACCAGCTGGCAGCAGATGGCACCCTGATTCTGGGAGGAAAGGGGAGAGGGGACTTGGTTCGCCATCACAGATGAAGCCAGAGCACCAGAGGGTAGCAGTCTTTCAGCTGGGCCTTGCCTGTGACTGCAGGGTGGGGTTGTCACCCCTCACCCCCGCCCACTGGAGCCCTTTCTGCTTCATTGGAGGGGTGCCTCCTTCAGAACGCTGAAACATTCTCTGTAAACATGAATTTGGCTTGTAAAAATCTCATTTCCGTAGTACAGCATTGGTCCCAATCAGAAATTATTTCCCAGTAAAGCCCATGGCCCCTCACTGCAGCAGATGGCTCAGAAAACGGGAGCCTTTTAATCAAGTTCAACTTACTTCCTCCAGCCCCCCTCCTGGCACTGCATCTTGCTTATAGCGCCCGGACAGCTGGGACAAGGTAGTCTCCTTCCACCTCCAGAAGGTCCCCATGCAGGCTGGGCAGGTGGCGGGCAGCTGTCAGGAGAGTGCCGGCCGAGGGGCTAGGACTCCTGCCGGGGCCGGCACCTGCCGTGTGCTTGGCACAGGGGTCACCCCAGCTCTGTTCTTGGTGGAAGTGTCCCAGGCTGGAGGTCCCGGTGATGACGGGGGAGTTAATCCCCAGCAGCCGGATGAAACCAGAGAGGAGAAGCCCCCGGAGACAGCCTCGACATGTCGCTCTGGCTCTGTCATCCCCACATGCAGGCCCTGAGGGCCTCCGTTCTGCCCCTTCCAGCAGCCCAGGGTAAAGGAGACCCCTGGGGTGGTTAAGGCCAAAGGAGAGTGGGTGCCCGCTCACCTCCTGCTGAAGGCTGGAGCCAGGCTCAGCCAGCCCCTGGCAGCTCCCAGGACCTGCACCTTCTTGGGGCACCTGCCCTCAGGCCTCCCTGTTGTCTTGGGTCCACCTGAGACCCTCCTGGCTCCTGCCTCAAGCTACCCTTCCTGGGTCTGGGAGCTGGCAGTGCGAGGTCCTTAGAGGAAGTGGCCGGGACGCTGAAGACCCCAGGGTTCCTGTTGTGGGGATTAGCTGCTCACAGAGATGTCTCCACACAGCTTCCCAGCATGCCCTGAGAGCTGGGCACAGGCTGGCTGTCTGAGGCCTGGTAGGTCCTGCTTGCCTTGGGGAGGACTGGTGCTCCTCCTGGGAGTCTCCAGGAGGGCATGCAGATACGCAGTGATGTTTCCAGGAACAGCTCTGAAGCAGTGGGGACTGAAGCCAGGGAGAGGGTAGGGGGGCTGTGGCTGGGGATCACAGACGCGAGCCATTTGGGGGTCCTCAGTCAACCAGTCCCTGAGACATTCCAGGCCCGCCTGTGAATCCCCTCACCTGGGCTTCTCTCACCTGGAAAAGTGGCAGGTCACCTCCTCTGGGGCCCCAAGACCACCCACTGTAGCAGTACCCTTGTTTAGACACGCATAGGCTGTCTCCCAGGAGCTGGCAGGCTCCAGATGAGAGCTCTGTCTCATTCGCTCCCCCAGGCGTCTTCAGCTTCTAGACTAGTCCCTGGCCCAGGAGAGTCCACTCTGCTCTGGAGGTCTGCGTGGCAGCTGGATGGAGGTCACTTGGGTGGCCTCAGCTTGGGGACTGGGGTGCCCAGGGGCTGGAGTGTGCCACATGGGGGGTGGAAAAGGCAGTCCGTGATGTGAAGAGGGGCGGAGGTGAGGAGGCTATGGTAGCTCCTGCAGAAGGGGGTGCAGAACAGAGTCCCGAAGCTGTGAGGCTGGGGAGGAGCCAGGGAGAGCCCATGACCACGGCGGCATCTGCCTGTGGCCTGGAGAGGAGCCGGCTGCCACCCAGTACCCCCTGCACCTCTCAGCCCTGGTGGGACCCCAGGGCACCGACTGCACCAGCGGAACGGACAAGGGTGGCTGGGCGTCTGCTGCCACCAAGCGGCAGATTGCAAGGTCGCTGGCTCAGAGAGCACCCGGGGTCCACGGTGTCCAGGAAGCCCCTCGCAGGCCCTCCGAGGACCCGGGTCCTGGTCTTCTCACTTCTCCGTCTCTTAATTAAGGAAACTAGGCTCTTCCCTCCTGTAAGGAAACGCGGACGTCCTGGAAACGATCTCCCAGGCTCAGGATTGTCCAGGCAGAGGAAGGGGGCAGAGTCAGGACCAGCGGCGGGTGGGGACGCCAGGGCCCCCGGCCTCCTTCCTGCCCAGTTCCTCCTCCTCGGAGGTCTCTGCAGACCCGGGCCTAAGGGGTGAGGGCGGCAACCCCTGGTTCAGCTGGAAAATGGCTCCCTCAGGACAAGGCAGCCTCGCGACCTCAGTCCTGCCTCCGTGGGGGAAGGAGCAACCCTGGCCTCCGTCTACCTCCCTCCGATACTGCCACAAGAGGGAGGTCACCCCACGGTCTGGGGGTCGAGTCCAGCGCCCCGGTGGGAGTGAGAGTTTGGGTCCACAGAGGTCTTCGGGCGGTGGTGGGGCATTGAAGAGAGGGCCCCCGGGACCGGTCTTATCTGGGCGGGGCTGCCCGGGGCGGGGTCCTGGGGTGTGTGTGTCTTGTTGTGGGCGGGGTCTGTGTCGGGGGCGGGGTCTGGCGCGCCGGCCGCTCATATCCGCCGGACGCGCGGCGTCTGGGCGGATGGAGGCTACGCGGAGGTCGCGGCTGAGTCTGAGCCGCCGGAAGCCCCTCTCGGGGGCCAGGTGAGGTCGGGGCTGGGGCTGGGGACGGCGCGGGGCTGGGGGCGGGAAGCGTCCCGGGTGGGGCCTCGTGTCCGCGGCCAAGTGGTAGCCGGGTGTCACGCCCCCACGTACTCCCTGGAACCCGCCTCGATCTCGCCCCGTCAGCCCTCCTCCCACCCCACTCCCGCCCAGCTGCAGAGCTGCACTCCTAGTCTCTCCCCGCTGAGTCCTCCTTTCTGTTCCCCGAGGGCCCCGCTCCCCGCTTCCCCCGCGCTGAGTTATTATGCCCACCCTCGCCGCCCCAGGCCTCCGAGCAATCCCTCCGGGTCCCTCCCGGACGGCAGCGAGTGCGCGAAGCTGTGGACTCAGTTGCTGCGCACCGCAAGCGCAGACCTGAACGTGAACGGCGAGCTGCCGCCGCTGCCCGCCTTCCCCGGCCAGGTGCGTGTGCAGTGGCCCCCGCGTGGCCCCTGGTCTCCAGCTGGGCCAGGGCGGGAAGGCGGGCGCGGTCCGACGACCTCTTCTTGCAGGAGCCCAGCCGCAGCCCTGAGCGCCCGCCCCCGGAAAGATTCACCGTGGGAACCGAGACCTTCTTCTGGACGCCTTTCCCGCCGCCCCCGCCGGGGCGAGGCAGGGACTCGGGCGGCTCCGACCTTGTGCTCAGCGCGGTCCGGGGGCGCACGGGGTCCCCCCAAAAACACCCTGCGCCCCAGCTCCGCGGAACCCCCAGCGCTGAGGAGCAGCCGTCGGAGGAGCAGCCCTCCCAGCGACAGCTGTCCGTGGACGCGGCGACAACCCTGCAGAGCTGTCCCATGTGCCAAGTCGACTTCGCCCCCGGGTGAGTGGCCCCCTGGGCCTCCCTCCCCTCCACTGCCACCCCCGTGGTAGCCCCTGCCCTGTTTGGAAACCACAGGCAGTTTCTGAAGGCTAGGGTACCTGAGCTCAACTTTGGCTTTTTTTAAAGTGAAATTTCATGCATAGAAAGTTGGCAAAGTGCAGAGGTGGTGCTGATCAGCCAGAGGGCACAGGGCTGGGTTTGAAGGTCCCCCTGCAGGTACACAGGGCCTGGGGCCCTGCTGACAGGCTGCAGCCTCTCAGATGTGGCCCCTACAGTGGGAGGGCAGGGAGGCTCTGGCTCTAATGGGGTCCACACTGACATCCGGGAACGTGGTGGTGACTGGCATTCTCTGGTGAGACTGCCTCCAGGGTCAGTTTGGGCTGTGGGTCACAGAGCAGTTTTGTCATGGTCCCTCTGGCAACCTTCCCCGTGGGTGGACTGATTTTAGAAATGAAGACTTTGTTTCAGTGTCTAGAGATGCCTTTTTTTGTTTTAGAAATCCAACATATATGCATTTTTTAAAATAAGGTGATGGAATTTGACTTTGCTAAGAAGTCCCACCTGCCCAGCTTTTGAGCAACGTGTCACATAGCTAAGGACACAGGCATGGGGATCGTGGGGGTCAGGACAGCAGGAAGGAGCTTGGTCGGATGTAGGGGATAGACGGCAGGTTTTGGTAGCTGGTCTTACTCTGTGTGTCCTGTGGCCTGAAGACTGTGTTGAATTATGTGCCTCATCCCTGGTTTTTTGGAAACAAAACCAGCCTAGTGGTGAAGGGAATGGCAGCTGATGACAAAAAGTTATCAAAACAGTTAGCAAAATGTGCAGCACAGACTGCAGAGGGGAGAAGAAACACGGTCTGCATTCAGATATCCAGGGTTCTCCAATGGTGATGTTTTATAGGAACCAAGCCTTTGAGAGCTTGGACAGCTCAGTGTGCAGGGAGCGAGGGCAGGGGGGTGACTGTCCCCAGGAGGACCTGTGGTGAAACCCCCCAGTAGGCACAGGTCTGGCGTGGTGGGAGGGCAGGTGTGGTGGCTGCGCTGAGATGCCTGTGCTCTGGAGAATTTGTAAAACGTCCTCAGACCCAGCGTTTCACCGAACACACCTCTTGTCCCATATTGAGGCTCTTGGATGGTTGTGGGCTGAAGATACCAGCTCCCTTGCCCGTCCTGAGGAAGCCGTGAACACTTTTGAAAATACTAAGTCCCCTTGATTCGTACCAGTTGAGAGAAACCCAGGGACAGAAATATCATTGGAAGCCCTGGAGGGAAATTCATTTTCTTGGCAGAAGATGCCCTTGAAGCTTCCTGAAACTGTCAGGGCACCCCACCCCTGCCTCTCTGTTGTAGGGGCAGCTTTTGTTTTTGGATCGCTTGCTTTTCTAAATGTCTAAGAAGGAGTTCCTAAAACTTTGGAAGGATGCTGGAAAGAAAGTTCCAGTCTGAGCTCTTTGAGCAGTCAGATTAAGGCTTGGCAGAGTGCCTCAGTGTAGGTGTTGGTGTGGGCGGTCCAGGTCTCCATGCGACTGGAGTGCTTCTTACATGTTCTTCCCTTTGATTAAGGAGAGCGTGCCCTGGCCAGGCCCCACCCTAAGGCTGCAGAGTGACTTGGGGATCCCCCCTCCTTGGGGACAGGCCAGGGCACAAGGGAGCCGAAATGAGTCTTGTGTCTAGAAACATGTTTGCTTTCAGGATTCTGGGCAATGTTTGTGACCAGAGGTGGAAGCCTTGCCACCTTCTGAGCAGCAGGGTGAGGCGAGTGGGAGGTGGACTGCTTGTCTGCAGGAGGCACGGGCAGCCTGGGCGCTTTGGGCAGCCTAGTGCTTCCAGGTCACTCAGAACCGGTGGTTCTCTGAGCTTCCTCTCTGACCCAAGGGCTATCACGTGGTGGATTCCACAGACTGCATGTGAGCACCCCTCCAGGTCCCTGTACCACGAGCTCCGGCATGGTCAGGAAGACTGGCTCCACCTGCCACTTTAGACAAGAGATGGGTGCCTGCATTTTCCCGAGACCCAGGTCGGCCCATAGGGTCTCACTGGTCCCTAGACCCCTTGCACTGCTGGGTGTCCTGGAGGGTCTGGACCATCAGTCCACGCAGTAGGCTTTGGGCTCGAGTGGGATCCACCTCAGAGCTCTCGTTGAGGGGGTTCTGAGGAAAGCCCAGACAGTGCTCCCCACTGAGAGACAGCACAGGCAGCGTCCAGACCTCATGGGCCATCCTCTCCCCAGCAGGGCCGAGTCTGCCTGGAGGTGTACGCCCACCCTCATAGTGACCGCTCTCTGAGGCGCCACCCTTCACACCCTGTCTTTTCCCAGTGGCCTTCAGAGGAGGGAAGGGTCGCCTGGGGCACGTGTGGAGGCAGAAACACCCAGAGAGTTTGTCTGATTGATGAGATAGAGCTTCTGCCTGGGAGGGGGTGGGGAAGACCCCGACGTCCATCTTAGGGCCGATTCTGCTGAGCCCACCCACACCCTTCACCCGCAGGTGGGTTCTTGGGGTTTTTCAGACACAGGGTCCCAGCGCTCAGCTGCAGGCACTTGAGGAGTCTGGTGCCCTGGGGACCTTGGACCCAGGAACAGGGTCTGAAAAGGCCCTTTTTCATTGAGGGGGACCCCTGCCCCCTGTTCTGCCAGCCGAGGGCACCGTCCCAGGTTTTCATGTAGTCAGCTCCCAGGAGGGGCGTGAAAGTGCAAGACACATACTCCGACTGGGCGCCCTCCCTGCCCATGACCCTCCCCTCTCCTCTGCTCACAGGCTGGCGCAGCTGGATGTTGACAGCCACCTGGCCCAGTGCCTGGCAGACAGCACGGACGACATAGAGTGGTGAGCAGCCTGGCCAGTGCCTCCCCTGCCCTGGCTGGGCCGCCTCCTCTCTGCTGTGTCCCCAAAAGCTGCATATTAAAGTGCCTTGGTGTGAAGTGCTCATGTCCCATCTCTTTGTGTTGATACTGAAACATTGAGTCCTTTTTCCTTTTTTGCTGATGCTGAGCGATGTGATGACTGAGGTGGACAGAGCCACCCAGCAGACGGACCAACCCCAGGTGGGTAACAGGGACAGTGTCACCAGCACTGTATTTGAACTCAGGGTGGCTTGGGAATGGACACTTTGCTGACTCCGTGAACTTGACTTGGGCTTCATGACCATGTTTGAATCCCCAGGTAAACCTGCTCCTGCAGCTGCAGGGATGCAGAGCAGCCCCTGGAATTTGCGGAGAGGGATCAGGTCCGTCTGCTGACATCCTGTGTGAGCTTTGTCTCAGTGGCCCTGTGCAGGGGGGACTTCTCTCCTGTGCCGTCAGTCCACAGGTTCTGGAAGAGCCTCATCTCCAGCTCAGCCATGGCTGCAAAAGTCTAAGGTTACCATCCAGAAGTCAGTATTTTCAAGAAAGGCTTCAGGCAAGCCATGAAAAGACATGGAGGAAAACTCTGTGCACACGGTACACTGAAAGGCTACAAGCTGAGCAATTCTAACTCTAGGCTGTTCTGGAAAAGGCAGAACGCATGGAGACAGCAAAAAGATCAGTGGTTATCAGGGATTAGTGGGGAGAGGGTATAAACAGGCAGAGCACAGAGGATTCTTAGGGCAGAAAAACACTTTATGACCTGACGTGTCAGTGCAGCCTCTCGTTTGCAAGAAGTGCACCCCCTGGGAATGTAACGGGGGGAGAAGGGGTCTCTCTCTTCCTCCCCACCAGAAATGGAAGTGAGGGACCTAAAACTGCTCTGAAAAATAAAACTTGTTTTTAAAAATCATCTTCAGAAGCCTTTGTTCCTGGAGACACCTACTTTTAATGAAAATGATGACAGCACGCATTGTCATTAAAGTCTTTAATAATGTGCAAGACTTGAGCAGCTGTGGCCTTCGTGGGCATGCCCTCTGCAGAAGGAAGGTCAAGGCCACAGCCCACTGCTCACTGTACAAAACCACAGGACGTGTCTCCTGCTTCACAGTCCTGAAGGCGCCCGTTTCCAAGAATCATATCAGAGGACATGCTGTGTTGTGACTGGAGCCGCTGGACCCACCTGAGCACATCCTTCGCCTTCTAAATTTATAAAAGCATAGGACCATGCATGAAATCACCCTGCCTGGGAGCCCAGGTTACACACAGGTCTGTACACCAGCAACCACACTGGCGACTGGGAGGCTGTCCCTGGCACCACTGCAGTGTTAACATCAATGCCGTCAGTGTGAACAAATCCATGGCCCCTGTACTGTCTGAGCAGAGGTGTTACCGTCCCTGAGGTGGCACGTGACCCCGTTGTGGGCACACTGGGGTCTCCCTAGGTGACTGCATAGCCCTCCTGATGATGTCACCACAGGGTCACAACGCCCACCAGGCCCAGGCAGCCCTGATTCTGTCCCAGGGTCCTTCACTTCCATTTCCGGGGGCGGGCAGGGTGTGTGTGCGCGCAAATCTCCACGTTCTAGAGATGCTGCTCTGCCATCGGGGCCTGGCTGGGGTGCCCAGGGAATCTGGGGGCACCTGGGGAGGCTGGTGTGTCTGCGCCGGGTCAGGCCAAGCCAGCAGCTTCTTTATTTAGCTTTTAACTGTGATCTGCCCCAGACTGCTGCCACATTGGGAAAAGTGAGGCCCAAGGATGCATGGCTATGTGGGACCCACACCCACAAGGGACATCAGGGACCGCTGTCCTGATGATGGACAAGGCCCTCCTGCCCCCTTTGCCTGGCCTGAGCCACACTTGACAATATCAGGGACTTAAAAAACCCACATGATTTACCTCTTTCTAGAAAACCTCGGGTTCAGCTTTTTACCTAAGGAGGAGGGTGGCCGAGTGACTGTGCCCCCTGCAGGTCATGGGAGGGAGGAGGTGAGCCCTGCCAGCAGGGGGGGCTAAATTTATTCCTTTACTTTAAGGCTAGGGCCCATCATACACATACCCTTTTAAAATGTTTAATTCTGAGCATTATTATTCCTGATAAAAAATACTCTCCAAAAATCTGATACATAACACAAGACATATGCAGGCACTGCTTAGTGTTTCCAGAAATATATTTTGTGCAGATTTCGTTTTCAACTTTGTGGTGGTTTTTTTTTTTGGAGGGGGTTTGCGGGTGCTTTGGTGAGCCTTGTTTTAGAACCTCTATGACCCAATTTTCCTGGTCAGTCTAAGGCCCGGGTTGGGACCAATGGAGCCCACCTGGTGAAGGTGTGACCTGGGCGTCAGACCACAGGAGCTGCTGACATGCTCGGTATGAAAATACTTGTTAAATATTAACAACAGGAACTTACCAGGATTTAGAAAATGTTCCGAATTTGTATAAACTCTCCACTGCGCAGGCACTTACATTCCGGACGTGCCTCCTCCGCGTGGGCCGCGCCTGCGACTATGGGCGGGTGACCCCCGCGGAAAAAAGGCATCAGAGGGAAGCGCCAGCATCAGAGGGACACTTTATTCCTCGGGACATTACAGGCCAACTCCCGGTGGAGCAGGTCAGTTCTGCTTCTGTGGAAAGTGTGCACCTTCGAAGTTGGGGGCAGTTTTTCCCTTGGACACGGTCGCCGCGGCCCCCGCGGCGCAGGCGCGAGAAGAAAGTTCCTCTGGGCCTGAGGCCCACGGGCTGCACGGGGAGGCTGTTCTGCCCTGGGCACCCGCCCACGCCCGGCCCCGCATGCATGCGCAGGGGTCAGGGCCAGGGCCAGTGCCATCCACGCGTCCACGACGAAAGCGCGGTGCCTCACACGGACTCCTCGGTGGACAGCAGCAGTGGGTTGATGTACTCGAACCCTTCAAACTCCGACTGGTCGATCCTCTTGATTACGTCCCTGCAGGGCCAGAGAAGGCTCGGTGGGCGTGTTTAAGATCAGGCCCTGTCTCGCCCCCGCAGCTAAGGACGCCCCGCACCCCCCGCCCCCGCCCCACAGTTTAGGACGCCCGGCCTCCACCTGGGACCCTTTCTCCCCCCCTGCAGTCCCCGGCCCTGCAGCTGGACACCCCGCCGCGCCATGCTGCAGGTCTTACTCGTCGTCAGGGGTCAGCTGCACCGGCTCGCTGGTGAACTGCGTATCGAAGTTGTCCAGGCCATAGTCGTCTGTGATCTGCGGCTGGAAGGGCGGGAGGGCCTGCTTCTTCCCCAGCTGCAGGAAGATACACGGTCAGAGCCACGTGCGTCAACTCGGCGCTGTGCAAACTCAAACCACAGAATCAAACAGAAGAAATGGTGCTTAAGTATATAAGCCTCATTTGATGGCCAATTGTTTTTCTCTAAAGTGTAGAAATTTCCCTCAAAGTCAGAAAAACTATTTGAGCTGAAAAGTGCTGGCAGCACAGGCCATGAGAGACATACCCCACGCCATCAAGGGCCTGCAACCCCGCTCCTTAATCTTGATGTAGTTTTAATCTTGGAACCCTGGTCATAAGAGAGCTGAGGCTTGGTAGGGATACCTGTGTTCCACTGGTACCCCTCCTCCCGAGAAGCCTTAAACGGCCATTTCTGACTAGTATTCCTAGTCCCAAAGGGATGCATGGCATTGAAAAGTTTGTCAGGCAGGAAATGGGGCACATGAGAACCCAGACCCTGCCTCCCAGTTGTCATCTTGGGGGCTGAGACACAGTGTCTGGAGAGGGCAGAGTCACGTGGAGGTGGAGCAACTCAGAGTGGCTCCAGTTACGGGGGGGGGGGGGGCACCTGGGCCCCCATGTTCACACACTCTTTACATCCTCTCCCTTCCCCTCTACCAGGTGTGTACTGCACACAGGTGCTGGGCCAGGCCTGCTCCTCAGACCTCAGATAGAGCCACACTGAGGCATGGGGGTCTCTGCCCAGAGGGACCGTCCCAGTCACAAGGGAAGCTGGAGCCAGAGGACAGGCAGGAGCCAGCCCTCGAGTGGGACCACTGTGCTCTCACAGCCAGGGCAGCTTGATTCAAGGGGTGGATGACCCTGGCCTTTCATGACTGGCTGCCACCTTCCCTTGGAGGGTCTGGGATAGCCAAACTGGAAACCCCCACCTGGGTGGGGCCTCCATGTGACCCGGTTGGAGACATGGAACTGTCCCAAGGCCCTGTGTAGGTAGAGAGCTCCAACCAAGTCAGAAATAAGCCTCCAGTCCACCCCAGCTCACACCCTGTCTTTGCACTGTGGGGCCAGGGCCCTTAGGAACACCACTTATGGCAACAAAAGCAAACTGGGCCTGGAAGGTTGAAACAGGTCCTATAAATTTGGGGGATTTGGGAAGCTGAACACACAGGTTCTGCTAATGAAGTTGGTGCAGGAAGAGTGAATGTTACAGAGATGAATCCCCCAGTCATGCCCAGTAGTGTCAGGGCTGCGGCCAGCACGCCCAAGCCACCTGGAGAGGCATGCCCATCACTGTCACCCAGGGGATGCAGGAGGCAGGTGCGGAACAGAGGGGACAGGCTGACCCACTGGCAGAAGGGGGCTACCAGTGTGTGCGCATGTGTGCATGTGCCCACACGCCCATGTGCACGCTGTGATCCCAGGGCTACGGGAGCTGGTGGGCATGGCCACACCCTGGACACTGTTCTGGGGACACAAGGCCTTCCCTTCTCCCCTGGCTTTCTCTCTGTCAGGCAAATTTCCATATTCTTGTCAGCATGAAATATATTCAGATAAAAAAGAGGAAAAGGAGCATTTCTCTTGTACTATTTTCCCTACTTTAGGTCTCAGCCTGCTTTAAAGAGATTTAAATATCAAGTCAGAACAGACCATGAGGAAAATGCAGCCAGGTGCTGGCCTGGGGTACTCCAAGCCCACCCCCCATCCCTGGCCGCATGGCCGCCCCCCCACCTCCCCGCCCAGGGAATGTCGCACAGTGTCACCTCTTCTTCCCTCAGTGAAAAGCAATGAACTGGAATGGCACTGCCCTAGAGTGACACCCCAGAGTCCCGCCACTTAGCCCTGAGGTGTGATGGGAAAGAGGAGGCCCAAAGGGGCTGGGAGTGAGTGCGCTGAGGCAGTCTGATGGAGTTGATGGGTGGAGGTTGGGAGGGGCAGAGCTGTGTCATGGCCCTGAGGCAGGAATGGGCCCAGTGTGTCGGGGCAGCGAGGGACTCCTACAGGCCCAGGGGAGGAGGTGGCTGCTAGCAGGGCCCAGGCAGGAAGCAGGGGACTGTCCAGGATGTGGGCAGCTCAGACCCAGGTGGCAGCAGTTGGGGTGAGAGAAGGCCAGACCCAGAAGGTTGAGTCCCCAGGACTGGGTGGGTCAAGGGCCACTGTAGGGGGAGGGGCCACAGCGCACCTGGGTGTCTAGCTGGGACTAGCTAGATGGTTAAGTGGAAGTGTCTGTGAGCTGACTCAGGGCATGGACATAGAGCTCAATCAATGGGTGTATGGCTGGGCTCATCTACCCAAACACACCCCGACAGGACACCCAGCATAGCATGAACTGGATGCCCCAGCAAGGCTGCTCTCAGGACCTTCAGGAAGCACTGCCCCCAGGGCCTTGTCACAGCCTGCCTCCTTGTTCTAAATCAGTGTTTCCCAAGGCACCCCCATTTCCACCCATCCTGCTCCCTGGAGGCCCCTTTCCCCCAGGGAGGCAGGTATCAGGTTCCAACCACTTTACCAGGTCCCAGTCTATACTGCGGAAGAAGGCATGAGACTTGATATCGGAAAATCCAGTCTGCGGCCGGCAGCCGAGCCTCTCCTTGGGGTCCTGAGGAGGTCAGAGTTCAAATGAGGACGAATCAGCACAGAGCAGAGCAGCCCAAGTCAGTAGCGGGTCTTAAACACCGTCAGCAAACCACCCGTGGCCAGCCCCCTACCCAGGTGAAACTGCTTCCTCCCAGAGGGTTAAGTTCCTTCAGGAAATGCCTCTCTGGCATAATTTCTCCTCATTATCTTTTGTCAAGTCTGAATAAGCATCCACAGGACCACCAAGGAAGGAAGCAGAGTCACACTCACGTCCGGCACTGAACTACCAGACCAGGTGGTAAAGCCTCAACCCCAGTAGCTGAGGAAGGGCTGCGGCAATGGCCACTGGGGTGCCACAGGGGGCCACAAGTGTACCTTGTTTAAAAATCCTTTCAACACGTGGGAGGCCTTGACAGAGAGGAACCGGGGGATCCGGATGGGCTTCTCCAGGATGACTGCAGGACCGGAGGAGAGAGTCGTTCCTTCTGCTGCCCCTCTGCCAGCTCCTCCTTCCCTGCCCCCAGCCTGTCAGCTCTGCCAAGCAGCCTGCAGGGCACTGGGAACCTTTTCTGGGTAGGAGGGTCGGGGCAGTCACGGTGGTCTGCGCCTCTTCCTGTACCCCAGCAGGGCCTCCAGGCCTCAGAGGCCCTGGTGCCCATGGTCAGGCATGCTCATGATCAGGGATGAACCAACAGCAGCTCAGCTGGCCCTATGTCCCCACGTCCACAGGTGCAAGACAACACTGTTGGACAGCTTCCCCACGTCCACAGGCCCAGGAGAGCACCATGGGGACAGCCTCCCCACGTCCACAGGCACAAGAGAGCACCGTGGGGACAGTCTCCCCACATCCACAGGTGCAAGACAGCCCTGTGGGACAGTCTCCCCACATCCACAGGCACAAGAGAGCACTGTGGGGACAGCCTGGGCCAGCATCCTGGGGGCAGTCAGTTCTGGTCCAGGGGCCCAGATGGCAAGGAGCTGAGGCTGAGCACAGCCCCTGCCCAGGACTCAGGGGCACACTGGAGGTGGGGAGAAGGGGGCCTCAGCTAAATCAGGACAGATTCTTTCCTGTGGATGTGAAAGACCAGTATCCCCCTGCCCACCATGCTTTGCTCCCTGAGAGCCAGTAGTGGACAGGTGGCAACACCTAGTCTGTGGCAGCCACGGTGACCAGTCAGGGGACCCTTTCACCCCCACTTCTAAAAGGGGAAAACCCGCAGGGCACGGAGGGAGCTTGATGTATGGCCCGCGCACCTTGGAAAAGGTAGTCTTCAGTGTTCATGTCAGGGTTGTCGGTGATGATGTCGAAGGGGGAGCGGCCTGCCATCATCTCGAACATCAGCACACCCAGCGCCCACCAGTCCACACTGAACCCTGTGGGAGAGCCAGGCTGGTCAGGCCAGGACTCTCCATTTGTGCTGTCCAGTCACGGGGCAACAGCTGTGACCTGGACCTGGACCACAACTGAGGCTGGGTGTCCCCAGCATCTCCCAGGCGGCCTGGCCTCCCCTCTGTCCACTGTTCTGGGGGCTGCAAAGCTATCTTCATGTCAAGGAAGCCCAGGGACAGCCAGCTGCCCCTGTTGTCCAAAGGTGTGCAGCTCCATCACACATAGGGCCCCCATTCTGGGAGGGCTATAGACTCTGCTCTGGACCATGGTTGCTGTTCATCCTCCTTGTTTGGTTACTAAGTGACTTCAATCGTATTGGCCTCCCAGGTGCCTAGGGATCTGAGGGGGCGAGAACCTGCCCACCCCCCAATTTCAACGGCAAAGAAAATATGTGGAAATATTTGAAAGAGTATTTGTGATGGGAAAACAGAAGAACCCAAAAATGCAGGGGGTGTGCACACACAGACACACATGTATATATGTTCTAATCTCACTTTCATTTCACACCCAGAGAAGGAGAGGGTGGACACAGTCCAGTGTCACAGGGGCTGTGGGTGGTTCTGGTGGGTTTAGGGAACCCACACCTGTGGGTGGCACCAGTGACTTGGGACCCCTGCTTGAGGCCTGTCTTTGCATTGTCTTCTCCTTCCCAACCTTTCGGGCTCCTTGACCAGAGGAATCCTGCCCAGTGACCTCCCCAGGGGACAATCAGGTGGACACATGGGACAACAGCTGGGACTGAGGCCATGTGATGACCTGGGGCTGGCGAAGTAACAGTGTGTTTTAGTGCAGTCTGGTCAGGAAACCCTCTTACTGGCAGCAGGGCCAGCTCCCCAGAGACCCTGGTTAGGACCCCGGCAGGGCCAGCCCCACTAGGATTGCCTCCTTTGCTGTCTGCCCCATCACAGAGTCTCTGGCAGAGGCAGCTCCCAGGGCTCAGGCTGTCCTGGTCCACTCCAGACTCAGAGCCAAGTCCCTGGGCAGAGAGGCTTCCAGGGCTCGGGGTGCCTAGGTGTCCTGGTCCATTCTAGACTCAGAGCCAAGTCCCTGGGCAGAGGAGGCTCCCAGGCCTCAGAGTGTCCTGGTCCACTCCCACCTTGGAGCCGAGTGCCTGTCCCACCAGTGCTCACCATACTCCTCTCCCCGCAGGATTTCGGGGGCGATGTAGTTCGGGGTTCCGCAGAAAGTGCTTGTCGTGTCACCAGGGCCCAGGCCTTCCTGTGGGGACAAAGCTAATTACTAGGAGGGAGGGTACCCCCCAGACACGCCCCCACTAGTGGGAGAACACATGGTCATATGGAGGTGCTGGAGACCAGGCATGGATGAGATGGTGCGGGCGCCAGGCTGGCCATGACCCCAGTAGGCGGGTGGGCAGGAGCAGTGGGCAGGATGCTCACCTTGCACATGCCGTAGTCTGTCAGTTTGATGTGGCCGTCAGCGTCAAGGAGGACATTGTCCAGCTTCAGGTCCCGGTAGATAATCCCTCTCTCATGTAGGAAGTTGAGTGCGATACAAATCTCAGCAGCATAGAACCTGGGGAGGGGGCAACACCTGTCATCAGCAGAGAGAACCCAACCAGGAACCTGGATAGGAGGACACAAGACGTCAGAATTCTCCACTGATGAGCTCATGTGCCAACAGGACTGGGCAAGACACACGTGGGCCCACAGGACCAGGAAAGGCATGCAGCATCCCTGTGGTCAGGGAGACACAAACCAAACCTACCATGAGACACCACCTCACACCTACCAGGATAGCCACTAGACAACGGGCCCCCTATCCCTCCTAACAGAAAATGACAAGTGCTGGCAAGGATGTGGAGAAACTGCAACCCTCATGCACTGCTGGTTGGGATGTAAAATGGTGCAGCTGCTGTGGGAAATAGCTTGGAAGGTCCTCAAAACATTAAAAATAGAATTACCATGTGACTCAGCAATTCCACTTCTGTGAATAACTTGAAAGAATTGAAAACAGGGGCTCAAATGGGTATTTGTACCCCCTTGTTCACAGCAGTACTATTCACAGTAGCTAAATCATGGAAGCAACCCAAGTTTTCATCAAAAGATGAGGATAAAATGTGGCCCATTACTGTGATAGGATAGGATCCAGCCTTGAAAAGGGAGGAGGTCCCAACACTGGCACCTGCTCCAACATGGATGGACCTTAGGACATGACACAGAGTGAAACAAACCAGATAAGGGAGGATGCATCCTATGGGATTCCACTTCTCTGAGGTCCCTGGAGGAGTCAGAGTCACAGAGACAAAGTAGGAGAGTGTGGGTTGTGGGAGGGGGTGTGGAGCGAGTGTTTTATGGGGATAGAGCTTTGGTCCAGGAAGAAGAGAAAGTCCTGGCAATGAAAGTCCTGGAGACGGTGGTGGGCATGGCTGCACAGCAATGTGAATGTGCCCAATGCCACTGACTTTGCACTTAAAAATGGTTGAGGTGGGAATTTTATGTTATGTGTATTTTTCCACAATTAAAAAAGGAAAACATGAGCGTATGGGGTTCTTGATTTATTACTTGCCTCTCCCCAAAAAGGACCTATGGTGACTCACAGTGCCACATGGGATTATTTTTAAGTGAGGAAATGAGGAAAAGGGAAAAAAGTATGGGAAAACAGGAAAGAGATGTCTATGGGGTGGAAATAAACGCCCCACCCACCTGTGAGGCCCAGGCTGCAGGGGCCGGGGGTGGGGGCAATGTGGTCAGTGTCCCTGAGAATCATTTAAAAACAAAGATCGTCCTGCTGAGGCCGGACGGTGCCACTGTGCACTCTGCGCTCTGAGGGTTGGGACCAAGGCCGGGTCACTCCCAGGACCCCCCGGGCTGTGGCCTGGCCTCCCCTGCCCCTCCCCCACCCCCGTGCCCGCCCCAGCTGCACCCACCTGGCGTGCTCCTCGGGCAGCTTCCTCTGCCTCTGCATGTGGAACATGAGGTCGCCCCCGTTGACGTACTCGATGACCAGGAACAACCTGCAGGACACACAGGCTGGGGTCACCCTCGTCCTGAGAGGCCCAGGCAGGCGGTGACCAGGCCATCCAACTCTGGGGTCAGTGGCAGGAGCCCCTCAGCTCTGATCCTGATGAAATAAAACTTGGGAGAGAAACTCTCGTCCACCACTCATGTCATTCAACACAGTTATTTACTCTCCCAATGATGCCTTTAGAGGGCTTCCCTGGTGGCTCAGATGGTAAAGAATCCCCCTGTAATGCGGGAGACCTGAGTTCGATCCCTGGCTTGGGAAGATCCCCTGGAGAAGGGAACTGTTGCCCACTCCAGTATTCTGGCCTGGAGAATTCCATGGAGAGAAGAGCCTGGTAAGCTACAGCCCATGGGGTTGCAAAGAGTCAGATATGACTGAGTGACTTTCATTTTTCACTTTCAATGATGCCTGGCCTGCCTTTTGGGTAAAAATGTAAAAATAAGGCAGGGCTGGGGGCTCACTGGGGCTGGGAGGGTGCTATGTGGCTGGTGGCTGTGGAAGGCCTCCCCAGGGAGCAAAGGCCTGGATGGTGCGTAGGGAGAGGTGGGGGAGGGCAGAGCTGAGGGACCAACCTGCAAGTTGAGGGGCCTGGCTCAGCTGGAGAAGCCAGAAGGGCGGGTGCACCATCTGGGGGACGCCAGTGGCCCTCTGGCCACTGTCTAGGTGGACCTGGGACAGGGAGATGGGCAGGCCGAAGGGGAGGAGGTACTCAGCCTCCTGGTGTGGCTGGCCGGGAGGGCCTGAGGCAGAGCCCACAAAATGGCCAGTGGGGTGAGCAGTCAGGAGAGGAAGGGCTGGCTGGAACCACAGGATGGTCCCATGCACCCCTCCCATAGGACCCACCCCAAGCTGCAGGTCCAGAGTTAGAGGGCCAGACACGCTGACCTGGCCACTGGGTCTGCAATGCTACCGGCCTCCCAGAGGAGGGTGGGGCTGCTGGCTGGAGGGGCCTGTGATTGACAGGCCTCTAGGAGGGTGGAGGTGCTAGTAGGAGAGGCCTGTGATTGACAGGCCCATCCTCTGGATGCAGGCAGGGCTCTTCGGGTCCCCAGACAATTTACCTTGTGATTTTTCTCCTTGATAGGATCCTCCTCACAATAAGGTTTCATTTTCAAAATTAAGTTCACACACAATTTCCCTGAAATGCCCTGCTGAGGCTAGCTTGTGGATTTTTAGGTCAACAGTTTCTCTGGGTATGGAGCGGGGCGGCTTTCAGACAGTCAAGAGCACAGAGGGAGCCCCTCTGAGCACTGGCAGCCTGTCTGCATCACTGGTGCGATGATAGTGACGCCCCACACATGGAGCATGTGAACAAGCTACAGACCGCCCACCAAGCCTCTGATCACATATTTACACAAGAAACAATTCCTAAATGCACACAGCAGACATGGAGACTGAGGGCTGAGTACTGGGGGAGCAGCCAGAGCTTTCCATGTGGTCCTGCAGGGTGGGGCGGCTCTCACGCTTGGAAGGGCCCAGTGATACTGACCCTGACACTAGGCAGTCTGCACCGTAGCTAAGTTTTACCTACACATTTGCCTGTGGCTGCTTTCATGCTATCACAGAGGTGAGAGACGGAAAAGGCTTGCCGATGTGGCACAAACAGGACAAGGATGGCTGCACAGCCCCCACAGACCTTCGCGCACTGTTCCAACATGTGTGCACATTGAACCCTGGCAGCCACCCTGGGGGGAAACATTGTGCAGGTGCTCAAGCCCTGGAGAGGCCTCGCCGCTAAAAAACAAGAGTGCTTATTCAGAATGCTGTACTTCAAAGAACAGGATGGTATTTGCCACGGTGAGCAGGGATCGCGCTGCCCCAGGAGACGTGTCCACCCTACATGGATGTTCCCCAGGGAATGGATGGTGGCCGCCCACATGGACACAAAGAAGTGCCATCCTGGTGCTGGAGACAGACACCAACATGAGGGCTCAGCGAGCAGGAGAGATGTTTAAAAACCGAGAAAAGTAGCAGCAATGGTGGCTTCCTTTCTGGATCTGGAGGAAAGCCTATAACGGGGGTTTCAACAGAAGCCATGTGACTGGAGTGAACACAGAGGCACACTCGGCTGGTCTGTGACTGTCACCTGGGGCCCCAGGTCTCAGGTAAGTCACTGAACAAGGAATTCACTTAATCTGCAACACTGATCAGCTATAACAACAGGGCAGAATGGTTTTTTTTTTCCTATTTTTTTGGCTGCGCCATGTGGCACATGGGTTCCCAGTTCCCTGATGTTTTCTTCCTTCTACAGATAAACATTAACACTACTTTTGACATTTAAAAAAAATGTATATTGGAGTCTAGTTGACTTACGATGTTGTCTTAGTTTGGGTGTACTACCTTCAACATTTCTTCGGAGCAAACCCCCCAAGAGCCACCAGGGGCTGATTCACCCTGATAATGACGCTTCAAGTGACTCAGATAAGCTGGCTGCTGTGACAAACACCCCAATGTCCACGGCCAAGTACAGCCAAGGGCCTGTCTCTGGGCTCCATGACTGGGGCTCTGCCCGTGAGCCCCAGATTGCATGGCTTGGTTAGCACATGTGTGATGCCAGGACAAGAAAGAAACCTCCCCCCAGGGCTGAGATAGCAAGTCACATTTCCTTAGTACTTAACTAAATATAGTTAAGCAGAACATAGTAAAAACTCACAAAACAGGATTCATCAAGAGCTGGAGACAGAAAGCGGCGTAAACACCACAGTCCACTCCTGGGCCAGAGACCAGGGCAGGAGCCAGGCTGTAGAGTTGGGGCCAGAGACGCTACCCACCCAACCTTTCACCCAGGACAAACCTGGAATGCCAGCCCCTCTGAGGGTCGAGGGTGCCAGGGGGCAGGAGGGGACCACCTGAGACGCTTTCCTCATCTCAGGGCCAAGTCAGGCCAGCCTCCCTACCCCATGAGGTAGATCACCAGCCTCACTCAGAGGAGACCCAGATGTCATGGGACAGTGCTGAGATCAAGAGTAATGCCACCAGCATCTGACCACACCCACTCCCCAACCCGTGTCTGTCGGTAAGGCTTTACTGGAACACTGCCTGTGTCTGTCTGCACCCCAGTGAGTAGTTGTCATAGAGACCATGTGGCCCTCAAAGGTGATACTACTATCTGGTCTTCTGAGAAAAAGTGCTGACCCCCGGTATAAAAAAATAACAAGAACACAGTTCTCACAACTCTCACAAAATGTCAGGTGCTCTTCTAAGCACACCTGTGTATGAAACTTAACCCAAGAACCGCACGGTACGTTCTAGGAGTTTCCTTATTTTACAGACAGGAACATTGAAATGCTGGGAGGTCAAGGAATTTTTCCCAGGACCACAGTTACTGTCTATGGGATCTGATACTGGGCGGCTTGGAGGAATCCAGAACCCACACCTGGAGCCCCACTTCCAGTTATAGACCCCCCCAATCACATGGTGGCTGCCCCTGTCCCCTTGGAGGTAGGGGACAGAAAAAAGGAACAGAGGAAGCAGACAAGGGCCCGGGCTTCCGATGAAGAAGGACAGACAAGAAAGGAAGTCAAAAGCCAAAGGGGCATCTCAGGATGGACCAGCCTTGTTCCCAAAGAAAGCACACATCAGAAACGCTAGGCAACCCCTGGACCCACGTGATCAGAACCTAGTCCCTGACTTAAAAGGATGCTCACATGATCCTGCTTGCTCACTTGCTCACTGTGAGCAAGCAGACCAGAGACCACGGGTCAGGGACAGACACTGACAGAGAAGAAATTGATGAACTGGCCCAGAGAAACCTCCTCCTGGATGAGAGGACAAAAAGCCCCCACCTCCCCGTAAAGGACGTGTGCCCAACACACCACCCAACACATGTCCGAGCTCCAAGGCGAGTGCGACTAGGCTGAGTCCGGCTCAAATGCAGGTGCTATGACATGTGAAGGATGCCTGGAATGTGAACCGCACGTTCACAGGAGACATGCCTGATGATGAAATCAGGCAAAGTAGGAGAGACCAAAACAGCGAAGCAGCCACAGGACACTGAGGATATCACTACCTAGAAAATGTGAAAAGTACAGCAAGCAAAACTGGGCAGCAAGGAAGCCACCTTCTGGTACGCCCCTCTCCCCACGTGTGCCCTCATGCTGAGACTCTAGCCCATGGGGTCGGGGCTGCACGTGGACCATTTCAGGGGATCTGCATGGAGAAGAGAGGCTGACGTGGCTCCGCCCACACCCGCTGTCACTCAGCACCTCGCTTTCTATTCTGGGCTTAAGTTATGACAGGAACAAATGCTCTACCTTTTGAAAGTACCATGACTCACGATCCTAGGGAGGGGGCACCTGTCCTCTCAAGGTCAAAGCTGATTCCTGTTGGGTTCACAGCCTCTTGTGCAGGTTCTTGCATCGCGGCTGCTGGTGTGTCCCGTGAGCACCTCCACCATCTCCAGGGCCCCCAGGAACCAGTTCTCCCCAACCCCCGTCAGCAGTAGGTGATCAGGCTGGGCCCTGGGTCTGCTCACTGCAGGCCTACCTGCTCCCCTTCTGGTAACTGCTCATGAGAAGCTGGGCCTTATTCACCAGGTTTTTGCTGCTGGGAGCCCACGGGCACAGCTCAGCTTGAGCAGGTGTCCACTGTTTGGCAGCACTGCAAGGACTCAGTGGGCCCCTGGCCCCACGGCAGGTGCTCAGGGGCGACAACTCATGAGGAGCCTGGAGGAGATGGTGCAGCAGCCGGCAGGTGCCCCAGCCACATCCCCACAGCCGTCCTGAATGCCCTAGGCCTCGCTGCCCCCTGCAGGGTCCACTCTGGTCTGCGTGGGGGTCTTGGTGGCTGCACTTGTCAGATGCTTTCTGACTCAGTGGGTTCTATGCCAAAAATGCCATCCACAGACTTGCAAAGGAGGTCTGCCCGGTGTAGACCCTTCCCGGCCCCCAGCCAGCTCTGCACTGGGTGTCTGTCCGTCCCAAGGTCCCTGTCAGTCGACATATATGGGACCTGAACTCCTGTGGGCAGGTCATGACCTCTTACTATTTTCTCATTAATCAGAGAGTCACGTGAACTCTGACACACACTCACTGTGCCTCTTTACCGAGAATATGACTGCACTTACAGAATCATCCTTTAATATTGTGACTGCCCATAAGGTGCCAGGATCAACCAACTGCTTGGAGCAGAACAGCCTGCGTAGCCCAGCTCTTAGGGAGTTCACACTGAGGGGTTGGGTCCAAGCAGGCACCGAGAAACAACCCGGGAAAGACACCTGCTCCAACCATCCAGGTTTCAGGTGCTTCTAAAGGTTACTGCCAGGTTCTGTAACGTTAGAGGCAAGGAAACTAGACACAGACGATAACTGCTCCAGGATGCCTCCCGGCTATGGTGCTGAAGGCTCTATACGAGTCTTCTCACAGCGGCCTGGAAAGGCAGTATCATGCGCGCCTGTATTGCGGGGATCGCACAGGGGTGATCCTAACTTTAATGTACCTGGGAGCATGTGAACCGGAGGGTTGCCAGGGTGTGAGCTCGGAAGGTGCTGTGCTCCCAGCAATCAAGCTGGAAGTGAGGCTGAAATATCTGACCCGTCTGTCCACACTTCTTGTTCCATGTAGTAAAGTTAACAGAACATCACAGTGAAACCCGTTTTAGAATCCATTTAGGAAGAGTGAAGTCAGGAGGATGCCCTCCCTAGGGTCTGTCCCGTATCCCAGAGACTGGTCAGGGCCAAACAGAGGCGTGGAAAGTACACCGGACACAAGCACTGGGCTCTCCGTGCACCCCGGGCTGGGGAAGAAGAGGTGAGGGAAGGGCTGCATGGCAAAGATGGACAGACTGGGGTGGAACCTGGTCGCAGGGCCTCATCCATGCACCTAGGAGCCTGGATGTTCCCCAGAAGCAACTGGGAAAGTGGTCAGGGTCAGAAGTTTCAGATCTGTGTTTTCAAACATGGCTCAGTTTCTGTGTGGGGGGAACTGACAACCTGGTGCCCCAGGGACCGGATGCCCCGAGAGGCTGTGGCCAGGATTCAGGGGGAGGAAACGGAGGAGGCTGAGAACCTCTCAGGAGGCAGAATCACTGAGCTTGGGGACAGGGCCGGGGGACAACTGCAGACCTGGGGAAAGGCCAGTTCTGTGGGAACAGGGGGGTGGAGATGGGGGAGGTGAGGGGGCACACAGGGGTGGGGGGTGACTCACTGCTCATTCACAGGGGACCCTGAGCAAAGACAGTGAGCACAGCAGGGCTGAGACCGCCCTGCCGCACGCCCACTCCAGGGGAGTCACCGGCTCCCTGAGCTGATGCAAACCCTCCCTAAAAGTGAGCTTGCTTCATGTGATCACATTGCAGAAACACCGCATCTGCCTTGGACACCTGCTGCTTACTGGGAGCCTGGGATTTGGCACATGTTAGGCAGAGGTGCCTACATGACTCACCCCAGTTAACCCCAGGTTTCATGATTCCTTCCAGAGGAATTCAAGGAGTTCCATGGGACCCCAAGTGAAGGGACTCCAGCCAGTGCATGCTTGGGTTCCTCCCAACTTTACCTCAAGCATCTTTGTCTTTTGCCAATTTTGCTTTATACCCTTTCCCAGCAGTAAGTCTCGGCCTTGAATTCGACAATGTGTTAAGTCCTGAGAGTTCTCCTAAGTCACCGAACCTGGGGGTGGGCCCTGAGGACTCTGACCCAGAACACAGTAATTTTTCAAATAAAACAAATTGTGTGAGTTCAAGTCATCTGGCCAAGAAAATTCCAAATTGAGTATACCCTGAATATCATAGACCAGTAGTTCCAACCATTTTAAAGCAGAAATCTAACATATACAAAGCTTTTAAGTAAAGCTCCTGGTGTTTATTACTTTATTCCACTATCAGTGAGAACCACAAGCACAGAGATAGACCTCCCACTCACAGGGCCATATCAGCACCCAATCCCATGCTTGTATCCCATGCAGTGGGATGTGCTCAATAAATATTTTGTAAATAGAATGAAAGAATTTAGCTTCATTTGTATGAAATTCAAGTTATATGACACCAGCTGAGAACAAAGTTATGTGATGAAACAAAAAGCCCCCACACTTGCAAATGGGAGGGCCCCGCAGATGAAAGCGGAAACCTCACGCCAACTCAGCCTCTCCACAGTTCAGACTAGAGAGCAGCAGAATCCGAGAAACACCCCTTATCTTACCGACTTGTTGTCTGGAAGCAGGAGTGTAAGCCGACCAGGAAAGGGTTGCTGGATGCCTGTTCAAACACGTGCTTCTCTGTCTGTACCCAGTCAATATCCTGAAATAGAAGCCAGAGAGTGTGAATACTTCAAAGACATCCTGGGGAAGGGGAGGCTAGAGAGGAACTCTGTCAACTCTGCTTGAGGGGAGACAATGCAGAGAGGAAAGAAAGTGCCCACTAAGACATTTTCCATCCCCACCATTGTCCCTATTACCATCTGCCACCTTCACTGTCATCACCATCATCCTCACCATCACTATCAACACTATCACCATCACCATCCTCACCACCATCCTTACCATTATCACCATCACTATCATCAACACTATCCTTACCATCACCACCACCATCATCATCCCCACCACCACCATCACTACCACCTTGACCACCATCTCCATCCCCACCATCATCACTATCATCTCCATTACCTTTACCATCATCACCACCACAATGACCATCTCTATTACCATCAGGATCATTACTCATCAGCTATCACCATCATCATTTATCACCATTTCTACCAAAGCATCACTAAAGCCACCATCGCCAGCTGTGAGTTGGCCTCATGTGTTGCCCATGGTGCCATGGAAGGTTTGTAATATCATCTCCACTTAAGAAGGGAGGAACGGAGAGTGGAGGATTCCCCAAACCCCACACTCATCTCCCAAGCACCAGCTCCCACAATAGGATTGTCTCCCTCACAGTACATGCTGAAACCTGGAGAAAAGTCAGCTTGACAGTCCCAGCTTTGGTTCCATTCCAACCCAAGAAAGAAGAACTGCATGAGGCCCAGGCCCCCAAATTCTCTAAGTTAATCCCCTTCTTTCAGGGAAAGTGAGAGGGAATGAGATGTGTTCAGAGTAGCCTGCCTTCCCCCAAGGTATTTGGGAAAAACTAGTGAACTCTCAGTTAGCACACATTTGGAGGGCCAAAGATCATCTGGGTTCCTCATCGTAGGCTGGGTCCTGATCCCTCTGACCTCCACCCCCCAAGGAGGTGCTCTGGGAGGAATGGCTTCATCTGACCAGCCCTACCCACCCCAGCTCTGCTTGCTTAAGCGATGGCCAACTGGCGTCTCCACTCGGAGTCTCAAGTGCAAACCCAGCCTTAAACACAGCCAACCATCCCTGTTTGTTCTCCAGGGTGCCTGGCCACCGAGGTGCTCAGGAAGGAAACCTCAGTGGGTACACGATACCCCCTCCCCCACACGGAGGCCAAGCCCCCCGGTCTGCCTTCCTCCCGCCTGCTGGACTCTCCAGGTTGTTGTAACAAAATGCCACAGACTGCTGGGCTTTAACACTCCAGATTGCGTCCTCTCGTTGTTTTGAGGCAGAAGCCTGAGCTCAAGTGTGGGCAGGGCCACGCTCTCGCCCAGGTCCCCACGGAGGGTCCTTCCTGCACCTCCAGGGGCCTCTGGCTCCTGTCTGCCTCCCTCTTAACAGTTTCACTGTGTTTTTCCTTCTTTCTGTCTCAAATCTTTCCCTGCCTTTCTCTAAAAAGACACTTGTCCCTGGATTTAGGGCCCCTCCAGATAATCTAGAATGACCATCCCATGATCCGTAATCACTTCTCACCAAATAAGGTCCTGCTCACAGGTTCCGGGCATCAGATGAGGGCCACCCCTCAGTCCACAGACCAAGGCCCAGGCCCGGGGCCATAGGATGGCAGAGTTTCAGAATGCAAACAGCTGGCCCATCTGCCGGCTCCTAGTGTCTCATTCTCTTGAGACCATCTCAAAGTCCAGACCCCAGCCCTGGCCCTGGCTATGTGATGATGCCAGGATCAACTACAGCAGCAATTTTCCCTGGAGACCTCTCCTCTCAGCATTCTAGAAACTGCCCTACCCCCCAAAGACACCATCAACCCTCCAGCCAGCTGTGCACTGGGCAGAGACTTGGAATCACCTTGCAGGGCTGTGACCATCAGTGAAGATGCTGGCTGGGCCCCACACCTCCCATCAGTGAAGACACCGGCTGGGTTCCACACCTCCCCAGGGCTCCGCTTCCTCAGCTGAGAGGCAGGGTTGCACCAGCTCAGTTGTCAGCTCAGCACCAGGGGCTGGCGGCCAACTGGGTGGTGTGTGCACTGCACAAATGCACTTGCTGGGAGGGCAGGTGGGGACTTGGTGAAGCCCTGGCTCTGCCCTCTGAGCTTCCAGCCTAGGCAGCCCTCCCATGGCCCCCACTCCATGTGTATCAAGTTGTCTCACAGTGACATCATCATTGCTCCCTCTGAAGTCACTGTCTGCTTCTAAGGGATGTAACCCCCGCTCAGGGGGTCAAAGAACAGATCAAAAGTACACAAAGCCAAGAAGCCCATGAAAAGGTGCTGAATGCCTGTCAAAGCCACTAAACACCCGCTAGAAGAGCGATAATCAAAAAATAGAACACAACCAGTATTGGCAAGAATGGGCAGAAGTGGGACCCTCGTGTGTTTCTGGTGGGGATGTAAAACGACACAGGGAAAGACGGTTCAGTTGTTCCTCAGAGTGAAACACAAGATGACCCTACGACTTGGTAATCCCCTCCCAGGTGAACACCCAGAGGAGTGAAAACAGGGACCCAGACAGCCGCATAGACGTTCACGGCAGCCAGAAATGGAGACAAGCCACGTGCTCATCAGGGACGGACACACATGCCAAACGGGGCCTGTCCATAAAACAGAACACGACTGAGGCCTAGAAAAGAAAGAGGAGGTGCCGCTCCTCGATACACTTGGATGGACCGTGAGAACGAGATGCTCCGTCAGAGAAGCCAGACATAGAAGGTCCCACAGAGGGTTCCATTTACATGCAGTGTCCAGAACAGGCAAATGCACAGAGACAGAAGTGGCCAGGCGCTGTGGGGCCAGAAGAGACTGGAGAGGGACTGTTCACGGGGAGGAAATGTTGCGGGCTGGGCGGTAACAACGCTTACCCAATACCGTGAATGCGCTAAAAGTCACTAAACTTTACACTGGAAAGTGGTGAAAGCACACACTTTGTTCTGTGCGCTTACTGGCACACAGAGGAGCAGACAGGGAGGCCGGACGTGCTGCAGGCCATGTGTCACAGAATTGGATACGACTTGGCAACTGAACAACAACAACGGGGGACAGATGCAATCTCACCTCATCGTCATGGACCAGCTCCTTCTTTACCACCTTCATGGCGTAGACCTGGTCGTTCTTCTTCAGCCGCACCAGCAGGACCTTGGCGTAGCTCCCGCGCCCGATGACCCTGATCAGGTCGAAGTCCTGCAGCCCGAGCCCCTGAGATATCTTGATCCCGTCCATCCCGTCGATGACTGGCTTGAGGTCCTGATGGGGGTGGACAAGATGGGAGGAAGCGGGAGGGGACTCATCATCACCCATGCCCTTCCCACCCAGGAGCAGACCTCTAGAGCTTCTGATGGAAGGAGCAGAGATCCAGGAGCCATCACCAGTCACAGGTGGCCCCTCTGTGAGCCAGGAGGGATGTGCAGGGCCAGACTGCCCTGACTGCTGAGGAGGTGACCATGGGCTCACACACCCCAAGGCCATTGGTGCTGGGATCAGAAGCTCACCTGGCCCTTCCTGGGGGGCACAAACCATAACCTGCTAATGCCTCAGGAGACCTGCCACAGCAAGCGTCACTCTAGTGACCCTCAACGGCAGGGAAAGGCCACGTGAGCACATGCACCCCTCCTGAGGACTCTCTGAAGAGGGTTTTGTGCTGGAGGAAAGGTAACCGAGTGCTCCTGACTCATTGCACACACAAATGACCAGGGAGAAAGAAAGAGCTCAAGTCCAGAGGGGACAAGTACTTTGGGAAAGGCGTGGCCTTGCCAGGTACTGCTGTTCTCGGAGGTTCTGTGGACAGAAGCTCCAGCTGGAACCGCCCTCGCTCGGGACCAAGCTTCTCAAGCCTCATTTATCACCCAGAGTCAAACTGTGATGTTGTGGTTGGTAATACAAAGTCCCTACTTGTTCCAGGGCCCCATTCCTGGCACAGAGCTCCTAACCCCAGGAGGTTCCAGGTGCTGACAGCCAGCGAAGTGTCCCTTTGTCATGTTAACGAAGCGCCTAGAGGGAAGCCTCTAGGTCACCTGAGGGTGTGGCTGGTTGCCCCGGGAACCAGCCCAGGGATTAGAGGGTCAGTCCCACCTCCTATTTGGAGATTGCCTCTGTGCTAAGTCTCAAAGACTTCTCAGATCTGTGACCCCGCCGCCTCAGTGTATGCAATCCCCGATGCCCACCAGGCCCCCGGACACCCCTAGTTCACCTTTAAGTTCCCACAGTGGCCCCAGAAATGAGCTGATGAACCTCTATAACAGACACAGACACCAATGAGCCATTTTCTACTCACCTCAGAATCATCTTTAATGTTGTCATGTTTCCGGGTTGAAGAAATATAAGCAACTGGTGAAGAGAAAGAAAAAGGGGGAGGGGGTCAAAGCCATCAACAGGGATGTGGCCCAGGACCCAGGGACTCCCACGGCCTCTGTCCCTTTGTGGACACGCAGTGCAAGGCCAGGCCAGGCCACCTGGTGCTCAGGTGGAAGGCCTGGAGCAGCTACTTCTGCCTCAACTAGAGACTTGGGAGAACACAGCTTCCAGACCCCACCCCCATCTGCTGACTCTCAGCTTCTGGGGCTGAGGCCTGGAAATCTGCATTTGTGACAACTTTCCCTCATGGTTCTTCTAGGAGCGAAAGAGCAGAAGGATTTGATGTCAAGCCTTCCAGTCTCTTTTCTCAAGGTGTGCAGCTGGGTGGGTAGACAGGTGGGGCAGATGGATGGATGGTGGGTGGGTGGTGTGCAGATGGTAGGGGTGGGTGGAGAGTGCGTGGATGTGTGTAGATGGTAGGTGGGTGGTGCATGGATGTGTGTAGATGGTGGGGGTGGGTGGAGAATGGGTAGATATGTGTAGATGGTGGGTGGGTGGGTGAATGGTGGGTGTATGTGTGTGGATGGTGGGGGTGCGTGGAGAGTGAGTGGACGTGTGTAGATGGTGGATGGGTGGATGGTGGGTGGGTGGACGTGTGTAGATGGTGGATGGGTGGATGGTGGGTGGGTGGATGTGTGTAGATGGTGGATGGGTGGATGGTGGGTGGGTGGATGTGTGTGGATGGTGGGGGTGGGTGGAGAGTGAGTGGACGTGTGTGGATGGTGGGTGGACAGGTGGGTGGTGGGTGGATGTGTGTGGATGGTGGAGGTGGATGGTGGGTGAGTGGACGTGTGTGGATGGTGGGTGGGCAGGTGGGTGGTGGGTGGATGTGTGTGGATGGTGGAGGTGGATGGTGGGTGAGTGGACGTGTGTGGATGGTGGGTGGGTGGATGGTGGTGGGTGGATGTGTGTAGATGGTGGAGGTGGATGGTGGGTGAGTGGACGTGTGTGGATGGTGGGTGGGTGGATGGTGGTGGGTGGATGTGTGTGGATGGTGGAGGTGGATGGTGGGTGAGTGGACATGTGTGGATGGTGGGTTTGTGGATGGTGGTGGGTGGATGCATGTGGATGGTGGGTGGATAGGTGGGTGGTGGCTGGGAGTCTCCTTTACATGAGCTGCTGTACTACTTTGTGCTCCGTGGCCTCACGTCACCCCTGGGGAAAGAACAAGTGTTTATCGAGTGAGGCCTAGGCCCTCGTACACCCTTGTGACCATGCACAGAACTGCAGAAGCTCAGAGCAGGGCCATCAGTCCAAATGGAATAAAAATTGCTCTCTTGAATGCTTCTTAGCAGTAAAAAAAAAAAAACACACCAACTCTCCACAACCAAAAAAAAACCAAACCTACTAAAACCCAAGAACTATGCAATACTGGGCACGGCAGGCCTTTCCAGAGACGCATATCTGTGGCGGCCACTGCACTAGTGCCTCCTAGAACTCCCGAGGTTGGAACAGAGGAAACCCCACCCTCCACCTTGACTCCCACAGGCAGCAGCACAGAGATGTGGGCACCCAGGGAAGGCCAGCCCGCCCACGCCTGCTCTGGAGAGCCCATCCCAGCCCTGCAGCAAGCGGCCATGCTCACAGGCCCTGGCTTGGGAGGGAGGAGGATCTAGAAAGGGTTCTGGGGGTGGGAGCAGCAGCCCTACTTCCATCGCTCTCCTCGGAGGGAAGGTCCACGTCATCGCTCTTGTCATCCACTGCAGGCTCCTGGGAAGGCATGACGGAATCCTGCAGAGAGACAGGCCAAGTGACTAGGCAGCACCACACGGGGCTTCTGGAGACACTGCATGACCGGGAGTCACCTGTCACACTGTGACGTCACAACACACGTCATTCAGCTGTTACAGCATCGCCCTGAACACGGCAAGATGAGCACTGGAATTACCTGCGTTTCCACAGGCGGAGGTGGCTGCTCAGCCCTCAGGTTCCACCCTTCCAGCAGGTGCTTTTAAAATGTGTCTTTTCACATAGTAACGCTTAGTCCCCTCAGCCCTGCCCTCATCGCACAGCGGCCGCAGTCAGGCCCCAGCTCCAGGTTCCATGGCTGACATCACAATTGAGGCAGCTCCCTATTGGTGGACTCTGGGGCTTGGGAACAAGGCCCGACCCAAGTGCTGACCGGGCCGTCACTCTGCAGCCCCTACGTCACCCCCTCTTCTCATCTCGTGGGTAGCAGGGACAGGGTTAGGACCCAAGCTGGGCAGGGGGAAGCCGAGGGTCCCAGAGGCAGCAGTGTGGACTGCACCCCAGCTGGCCGAGGTGTCCACTCACCATATGCCTGCTGCAGGTCAATGGGACGAGCACGTAGCAGCGCTTATGGACCAGTAGTTTGCAGTGGATGCACCTGTAGCCCTGCCTCGCGAGGCCCCATATCCTCTCGCTGCACTGGCCGCAGTACGCTCTCTGCATGGACAAGAATAGGCATCGTCAGCCAGGCCTGGTGCCCCCGTGGTTCTTCCACACCAACGGGACATACTGCCCTGTAAAAACACGCAGCCAGGCCCGTGCCCCCGTGGTCCCTCCACACTGAGGGGACATGCAGCCAGGCCAGGAAGAGGCCTCTTCACACCTGGTAACAGGCCCCACCCAGGCCCAGTAGCCCCAGCTTGGGTCTCTCCCAAGGTTGAGGAAACCAAGGCCCCGAGGGGCTGGGGCTATGCCCCCATAGGAACTTGTGAGCAGGTAACGAGACCTCTCCGTGGGCAGGGCCTCCTTGCCTGCAGGACCTGGAGCGGGGTTGCAAATCCAGCCTGGCTGTGCTCAGAACAGCTGAGGGGCTCCGCCTGAGTGGAGTGACCCAGGTGAGAAGGCTGTGGGGGAGCCTGACCACTGCATGACCCTCGTCCAAACCCACTCATGACCCCTGCATGATGAACACAGAGGCGACCATGCCTGGCAACTGAATGCATCTGGATTCTGAACAGCTCTGGGGCTCCATGTGATTCAGTTCAGTTCAGTTGCTCAGTTGTATCCAACTCTTTGTGACCCCATGGGCTGCAGCATGCCAGGCCTCCCTGTCCACCACCAACTCCTGGAGCTTGCTCAAATTCATGTCCATTGAATCAGTCATGCCATCCAACCATCTCATCCTCTGTCGTCCCCTTCTCCTCCTGCCTTCAATCTTGCCCAGCATCAGAATCTTTTCCAGTGAGTCAGTTCTTTGCATCACGTGGCCAAGGTATTGGAGTATCAGCTTCAGCATCAGTCCTGCCAATGAATATTCAGGACTGATTTCCTTTAGGATTGACTGGTTTGATCTCCTGGCTGTCCAAGGGACTCTCAAGAGTCTTTAGCACCACAGTGCCTTTGAATGTTTGAGTATCTCCTGCAGAGGTACAGGTCAGCAGTGGCCTGCGATAGGGGCAGGGACTCTGGGTGCAGCAGACCTGGGTGTGGTATAAGCCCTCTTGGAGGAGGTCGCCATTAACCCCGCCATAGAGCTGTCAGAACTTACACAGGACTGGGGAAACAGACTCTTGGAGGGCACAAACAAAACCTTGTGCACTCCAGGACCCAGGACAAAGGAGCAGTGACCCCACAAGAGACTGACCCAGACTTGCCTGTGAATGTCCATGCTAGTACAAGTCCACCCTTGTATTTTTCTCAGCATTTTAAAAAGATTTTAAGTGGTCAATCTTTGTTCCTCTTGGTTATAAACACTTGAAACTCATGATCATGACTGGCTCGTTTGGTGAGGTTTTTGTGATTTTAGAAGTCCCAAAATGCAAAGATGAGTGTGTCCAGAAGTGGGGTCACCCGCCCACCACTTGGAGCCCAAGTTGTCTCCTTGGTTACATGGTGTCCGTACATTGGCAGTCTCCCGCTTACTTCTGTTCCAGCCATATCTCATTTACATGTTTTACCCTCTTTTGCCATGTTTAACAAATTTCTTTCCTTTGAGAAAGTTTCAAATTACTCCTGGAGAACAGAAAGGATGCACTGTACCGGCGCTGATCAGAGCAAATCTTCCCCAAGAGTGAGCCAAGGGTGCAGGACCAGCTACTGGCAGCCAGTGGGCACAAGGAACTCATTTCCCCCCAGGAAGGAGCCTCTCCCCCACACAGAGCATGTACATCTCAGTCACAGCCACAGCACCTGGGATGGTACCCAGCACTCAGTGGGAGCCCAGTAAAGCTCTGCTGAAGACAAGTCCATGCATGCGCGCACGCGCGCACACACACACACACACACACACACACACCCCACTGCTTACAACTTCAGGAAAAGAAGCATGTATCCCAGTCCCCAACACTGCTCGAGTTGTCCTGCCCCAAGGAGGCAAATATGGGTGATGGGGGTCCCTCTGGGAATGGCCCAAGAGACAGTGGATGGCTGCGAAAGACAGATGGGAGGCCAGCCCCAGGGTCACCCCTCTTGAGAGCTCTGACTCTGGCCAGTCCAGTTTAATACTGGCACTGGTGCCTCCAGAAGGGTGACTGCTCATGAGCAAATCCAGGATCCAAGGAGGGAGTGTCAAGCCCGAGAGTGCTTTCACCCCCGTTTCCAGCCCTGTTTGTCAGCATTCATGGAACTATTAAAAAAATTTACGTCCTTGGGGACTTCCCTGGCAGTCTAAGAATCTGTCTTGCAACACAGCAGACACAGGTTCAATCCTGGATCAGGGAACCAAGATCCCGCAAGCTGTGTGGCATAGCCGAAAAGGAGTAGTAATAATAAATAAAAATAAATATAAAATATTAAAAAATTAATTAAATAATAAAAATAATAACAAAAAAATAAAGCTTCATCTCTCAGAAAATCACATGCATTAACAGACTAATGGGTGAAAGTATTTTTCAGTCTGTCTCACATGCTGCTTGGCTGGCCATGTTTTCAGTCATCAACCTCTGGGGCTGCTCTTATGTGGTCACACTGACCGCAGAGTTGTGCAGTTGTGACAGAGACTGCATGCCCCACAAAGCCTGAAACATTTACTCTCTGGCCCTTTGTAGGGGAGGTTTCCTCAGCTCGAAAAGCCCAGGAGAAATCCTCAACCAGCACGGCCAGCCCTGCTGGTGTCTTCACCCGGGTCTCCCCGCCTGCCTCTCACTCCATACTGTCCCTCCTCGCAGGACTCTCTGCTCATAATAAAGGCTGCGCAGGACTCTCTGCTCATAATAAAGGCTGCAGTTCTTGAACCATCCACCCAGCCAGTCCTGCAGCACAGGTAGCCCATGTGCCACTGGCAGAGGCCGCTCCAGTTGCCCCAGGATGGGAAGGGGGCATATACAGTGCCGAGGCTCAAACCCCTGCACTGGGGGGTTAAGGGCAGGGGGTTCTCACAGCACAGGGAGGGTGCTCAGATGCTGCCCGCCTATGACAGTGATGTGGCCACTCCTCTAGGATGGACTCACTGCAGGGACAGCAGGACAGGGTACCTTAGAGCCACCGAGCTTTTCCCCAACTGCTTTCCAGAAAGCAGGGGTCTGGGTCTGCACCCCTGGAAGTACGAGGACTGTCACTGCGTAAACAGCAGCCTGGGGCACTGACAACTCTGAATGTCCTGCGTTTCTCTGGTCACCAACAAGGTAAGGGTGCCTGCATTCATGTGCAGCGACCACTCTTGTTCTAACTGACCACTCACACCCTTGCCCAACTTCTGATTTAAGCATTTAGCAAAAGGCCAGAGCTCTTTGGTACTAAACACACATACTGTCTTGATCTCTTATTCCAGGTTTTGCTACAAACATCTTCCCTGCATGTGTTTCGTGTTCAATATTTGGGGGCTGCAGACAGCTGGCAAGTGCCTATGGCTGAGTCTGAAGACCCACTCCCCCTGCTCCCCACTGCCAGGTTTCCCTAGAGCCCCTCAGCACTTCTAGGTTTTGATTCTATGTGTGTGTGTGTGTGTGTGGCACTGCATGGCTTGTGGGATCTCAGTTCCAAACCGGGCCATGCCAGTGAACACCCTCCCTGATGATCCACCCCGACTCACTCGGCCGTGAACCCAGCCCTGGACAGCCCCTCCCTGCTGACCCACACTCAACCAGTATCTCCCTGTGATGGACTGGATGACCCTCCACCCTTACAGGAGACACTCGTGTCCTGGGTCCCAAGGCCAGGCTCTGACCACCAGTTCCATCCCACAGACTGGGATCCCCGTCGGCCCCCTCGTGCTTCCTGTTCTGGGGAGGACGCTGCCCTCCTCTCCTCTCTCTGCAAGTCCCTGGTTGAGCCCCTCTCTCTGCTCGAGAAGATCAGCTGTGTCCAGTGAAGGGAGCTCTGGCCCGGAAGGCTGACAGCCCTTGCTTTCGTCCTTAGGTCACCAGCAAAGATGGAGAGACATGACCTCCTTCGTTGGCTTGTCCCTGTGAGCCCTGCTGACCCTGCAGAGCCAGGCGTGCAGCTCCTGAGACATGTGGAGTGACTGCCCAGAGAACATAGGTGGATGGTGTGGCCTCCAGACATGGAGTCTGGGGACCGAAGGTGGGAAACCAGCCTGGGGATGAACGGCGACACGCCCACTTCCCCACCTGTGAACAGCCTGCTGCCGAAAGGCTGCGGGTATCAGGGTTGGCTCCCTCCTTGGCCTCATGGTGTTTGTTAAAAGCTTGTCGGTGCTCGGGGGAAGAGCAGATGGGAGAGGGCTAGAGTGGGTACGCTCACCCCAAATTCCTGTTCTTCCTTAGAGAGGAAAAGCCTTGCCCACAATTTTGGGGAGGGGGTGGCAGGAGGAGTGCCAGGCTCTGCACCCGACGAACAGAGAAATGCGTTTTCCTCCTAGAACCTGCAGGCAGGAGAGGCCAGGCCCCTCTGAGCAGCCTTGCCAAGTGGGTGGGCTTCATAGTGGGCCAGTGAGTCACTCTGTCAAGAAGGGTGTGAGTGGTTCCCTGAGGTCCTTCAGGGTGGCCTGGCCCATCTGCCTGAGACCATCTCTGGCCAGAACCGAGCTGGTGCCCAGAGGCACAGGAGAGAAGCTGCCTGGCCACAGGCTGGTCGGTCATCTGTTTCTTAAATAAACATGGGAGGGCAGGCAGTGGTACCTCATGTCGTCGGGGCTGGAAGTTTCGGTTTCTCTAGGTTTCATCTTGTCTGTCTGGGTGGTTCACCACAGTCTCACGTCCACACCCATCGGGTGGCCCATCATCCCTGCAGCCCCCGCCCTCTGTCCACATGCAGTGATGCCCAGTCTCCCCACGGTATCTGATGCCCCAAGGACCGCGTGTCCTCTTGTCGTTGTCGGAGGCCCCAGGGCCCCCTCCTTCCCAACAGACATGCTTCATTCCTCCCTTGCTCCTGACACAGCCCCCAGGGCGCCCTTTCCTCCAATCATCCATTACAGGGAACGACACACCGCCACGCTGTGTGTGTGCCTGCTGCGTGCCAGGTGCAGGGGCCAGCCTTCAGGGCAGGGTACCCGGCATGCGTGGGGCCCCAGGTCAGCAGGTGCTCGGCTGCTGTATGGGGCTCAGTGGTGTCCCCCAAACTCATGTCCACCCAGAAATGACTGGGTCCTTGTCATGACTGGTGTCCGGGGGGTGAGGAGTTGGGGGTGTGGGGGTGGGGTGCAGAGACAGGAGGTGGCAGAGGCTGGAGGGCTATACTCCCAGCCCAGGGCTTCTGAGGATGCCAGCGACCCTAGAAGCTACACAGAGGCAGGAAGGACTCTCCCTGAGAGCAGCCCGGCCCTGAGAGCAGTCCTTGTTTTGGACTTCAGACACCAGACAGACCTGCTAAGCGCCTAGTCTGTGGCGCTCTAGGTGGGCAGCCCTGGGGCAGGCAGTCTTCAGCCACGGGGCCTCTGCAGGTACCTCCTTTCCATGTGGCAACAGGACAATGACAAAGCCATGTGAGCCCGTGGTCTCTGCAGGACACAGGGCAGCATGAGGAGAAACACCATGTGTATAGCCTTCGGAGTGAGCTGGGCAGCGGGGCCAAGGGATGGAGGGCCGTTATCGGGCCCTGGGCTTCACAGGACACCCTTGCAACCAGCAGGGGACACTGCGCGGTAACACATGCATCCTGGTTACGGGACAAATCCAGGGTCCCTTCTGAATGCCCATGGAGTCCTAGTGCCAGGACGAGGGTCACATGACGGGACATGGTACCAGACGGGGGTCACGCGACAAGGACACACAGGTCACATCTGTCAGAAAAGACCTGAGCTGGAGACTTGCTGGCTCAGGGAGCTCGTGAAGGGCTTGTGGTCATCCATGGCTGAGTGTGGAGCAGAGCCCAGCATCTCCTCCCGGGGGGCACTCACCCTGTTAAAGCGCTTGGCCTGGAAGAGGTGGCCGTTGGCGCGGTACAGCTTTCGCCATCTTCTGGCTCCACGGCGGTAGATGGATTCTGGAAAGAATAGGAGAAGAGTGTAAAGAAACGGCCTTGGGGCTGCGAGCCCAGCTCTACCACATGGGGGGCAGTGGGGACAGGCCGCCAGTTCAGGCGGCCTGGGGCAGTGACTGCGGAGCTGAGACGCCAGCACCCTCGTAGCTGTTCCACATTGCCGGGTGGGGAGACGGTGCCCCGGATGACCCACAAGGACGGCTGTCTGCAGGGGGTCAGGCTGTGAGGCCACTGGGGCCTGTGTATCCACCATGGGCTTCCTGTCCACTCCCTTCCCTCTGGGCGTGAAAACCAGGTCCCGTTCCACATGGGGACGGGCTCCATGGGAGCTAAGGGCTCTCCGGACCTTTACGCCCAATTGTCCGGGGAGGGACCCTGGCTGCCGGGAAGTCCACAGTCAGCCTGAGGCAGGCGTCCAGCCAGCACCGCCCCCCTCCCCCGGCTCCCCTTCAAGAACAAACCTAGGGGCAGAAACAAAGCAAAACCAACCGCACACTTATGCTGAGTTGAAAGTCACCAAAAACACTACGTTCCCAACCTGCACCAGACTTGTGTGGAAGCAGCGGCTCATGAAACACGCCGAGCTACACGTATGACCAGGGCGGGCGGTTTCATTCCTCCTCAAAAACATTTCCAACTTTGCTCCTTCCCAACGCTTTGAAAGTATGTGAAAACAAAATACTTGGGCTACAACGGGAAGCTTTGTGCTTTTACAGAGCTCCGTAGTGAAGGCGACTTTCATGAGAGTCAGGGAGCTGCCAGGAACATACAGAAGTGGAAACTGTAACGGAGTGTTTTTAAAACAAGCAAATGACCAGCTCTGGCTGGAACCTGTGAAACCTGGTCACAGTGACTGCAAAACCGGCTCCCCTCCCATTAAATGAGAGGTGTAGGGGGAAGCCAAGACGCCAACATGCAGACAGAACGGGGCTCCCCGCCTATCTTGCCCTGGGCTCCAAGGGGTTCCTGCTGATGCCCCAGGGCCCCTGCCTGATCACAGGGCATGGCCCTCCCAGCCAGAGCTGGGGAAGTCTGGCCCCCGGCAGGTCCCTGCTGACGTCCACAGGGCTGACTGCCCTGTGTGTGGCATTCACCAGCCCCAGCCGTCCCTGCACGTGGCGGGGTAAGGCACCGAGTGACAGACTCCAAGATGCAGAGGGAGCTGGGTTGTCAGGCAGGGACTCGGTGGCACAAGGCTCTGGCTCCTTCCAGTGTTCAGCACACACACAGCACGAAAGCCTGAAAATGCATCCACAGGATGCCCTTCACATTTCGGTAAAGCCACCCGAAATAAGGAACTCAAAGATGTTCAAGCAGAGTCCAAGGGAGCCCCCAGCAGACCAGAAAGCTAGGTGAGGGGACAGAACAGAGTCCTTCGGGACTCCTATGTGTTGAGTAGGGCCGAGGGAACACAGGTGATGTCCCATTGGCCACAGTGAGAGAAGCCAGGACCCCCGCTGTTGTGTCTTTCCTGATTACACGTGGAAGCCCTGACCACCCCCTCCAGCTCCTCTCCCCAGCTCCATGCATGGCTGTATTTGGGAGTGGGGCCCCTGAGGAGGTCACTGAGTTCAGTGGTCATGGTTGGGGCCCCTTGATGGGATCAGTACCCTCATAAGAAGAGGAGCAGACACCTGACCTCTGTCTCCACTGCATGGAGACCCAGCTGGGGCAGTGTCTATAAGCCATGAAGAGGGTGCTCACCAGGCCCCGACCCTGCTGGCACCCGGAGCTCGGCCGCCCACCCCCAGATCCTGAGAAGTGAGGTCTTGTGGTCTCTGCTGCATCCAGTATATTGTGACAGTGGCTCGAGCAGACCAGACGCCTGCTTCACTCAACACACAAATCATCCCCTCAGTACATAAAGACTGAGGGACTTCCCTGGTGGTCCAGTGGCTAAGACCCTATGCTCCCAATGCAGGGGCTCAAGTTCAATTCCTGGTCAGGAGACTAGATCCCACATGCCACAACCAAGACCTGGTGCCACCACACAAATACATTCATCTAAAAAAAGACAAGGACTGAAACTAGGGGCAAAATGACAAGTCTTAGAAGGAAACGTGGACAATCTTAATTGAAGGTGGGGAAAACCCTGAAAACAAAAGGAGGAGAGGACGCACGTTCACCCTAAGACCACATGAGGCCAGACAAACCCCCGTCTCATTATCAGCCATGCCACATGGGCTAATGATTCAGGATACAGAAGGCATGCCCACAAGTCAATGAGGGAAAACAGAAACGGGAAGACAAGTCTCCCATGATGTCAAATACTGTCAAGGATCAGAGTAAACTGAAGTCGCCTGTCCTTCTAGGGGAGCTTAACCATGGCCAGAATCAATGGTCGAGGGCATGTGTGCTTCCCCGGGACACAGCAGTCACACTGCTCCTAGACCAGCACCTGACAGGCCTCATGTGTGGGCTCGTGGCCATCGGAGGATGTCTGTGGCCACCCAGGTCCAAGAGGACAGGTGACCTGGGGCAAGGCTGTCTGGGAGGACTCTCAGTCATAACCCAGCTTAAACCACCTTCGGCCACACAAACGCATCTTCCAAAACCAAATTAAAAAAATCAGTATAAAATCACAGGGGCTTTCCTAGTGGCTCAATGGTAAAGAATCCACCTGCCAATGCAGGAGCCACGGGTTTGATCCCTGATCCAGAAAGACCCCACGTGCCGTGGAGCAGCTAAGCCTGTACGCTACAACTATTGAGCCTTGCTCTAGAGCCCAGGAGCCACAGCTACTGAAGCCCGAGTGCCCCAGAGTCTGTGCTCCACAACAAGAGAAGCCACTGCAATGAGAAGCCTGTGCACAACTAGAAAGTAGATCCCGCTCACCACAACCAGGGAAAAGCCTGTGTAGCGACAAAGACCCAGCACAGCCAAAGGTAAACAAATAAACAAAAAAAATTTAAATTATAAAATGACAGACTGATGTATATGAAATGGGCTCTGTAAAACGATGCCTGTTATCAAACTAAAAGGGCTTGCCTGGTGGCTCAGACAGTAAAGAATCTGCACACAATGCAGGAGACCTGGGTTCAACCCCTGGGTGGGGAAGATCCTAAGGAGAAGGGAATGGCAACCCACTCCAGTATTCTTGCCTGGAGAATACCATGGACAGAGGAGCCTGGAGGTCTACAGTCCACAGGGTCAAACTAAAAATCAAGAAAATGGACAGTGTGATGTTTCAGGATGCATGTTCATAAAGGGACATCATCCTAGTAAGTGGAAGACTGGGACAGTGCATCAGTGCTGGGCAGGTTGGCTGCTAAGGGTGTGCATGTCCACTCCACTGTATGTTTCATAACACGTGTGATTCCTATGTTCTTGGGGTGCCTCAAAGGCTGCAGTAAACAATATACAATAGGAACTGTAAAAACACAGGGAGGGGCCAGAGGTGGCAACAATGACATGGTTATAAACGAATCTCAGATCCTAGTAGAAACACTGAGTTGTCTCTGCACAGAGGCTCCAGCTGTTGCTGTGAGCCCACTGCAGGAACCATGTCCATGCCGCTGCTGCTTGTGCCCTGACCAGTGGGGAGCAGTGCCTGCAGACACACGCTCCACACTGTGGGAGGACACTGGTCAGAGGGGTTGGTTTGGGGAGCCACAGGACAGATGCAACATGGCTCCCAGGTGGCAGAGGTTGCAGGTGTATAAGTTCAGGGAGAAGCAGGGAGGAAGTGCTGAGCAGATGGGAGGAAAGCGGCATCCTCCAAGCCCCAGAAGACAACCAGCCCTCCTGGGGGAGGGGTCAGTGTATGTCCAGCACATGCAGGACAGACACATGTCGAACAGAGGTGTGACTGTGCTGCTGCCTTTAGCAGGAGACTGAGTGTGGATTCAGGAGGCACCTCTTGGCAGTGGGGTGTGGGGATGTGATGGTGCATTTCATGTGTCAGCTAGGTGGATCACAGTGCCCAGATTTGTGGTCAAAATATCTTGGATGTTTCTATGAGTGTGCTTCAAGATGAGATGAACATTTAAATCAATGGCCTTGGAGTGGAGCAGACTGCCCCCGACAGGTGGGCTTCATCTGATCAGATGACGGCTTTGTTCAGTTGTTCAGCCATGTCTGACTCTTTGTGATCTCATGGACTACAGCATGCCAGGCTTTCCTGTCCCTCACTATCTCTTGGCAATTGCTCAGATTCATGTCTATTGAGTTAGTGATGCCATTCAACCGTCTCATCCTCTGTCGTGATAACAGCCTGAACAAACCGAAAGGCCGCCTTCCCCCAGCGAGAGAGGGATACTGCGGCAGACAGCTTTGGACCTGGACCGTGGCGGCAGCTCCTCCCACATCTCCAGCCTGCAGGCCTGACTTGCGTCCTCCATGACCCTGTGAGCAGGCTCCTTACAATAACGACTCTCCTGGCAGGGATGGGGAGATGTCAGAGCCCCAGCAGGGCAGACCCTGGCCCCAATCCCAGCAGAGGCACAGGAGCCACTGGGTGTCCAACCCACACCCACATTGCCAACTGGAAAGCAGTGCCCCGTGGACTTATAAGGAACCATAAGGGACCACAGGGAATCCCATACCGGTTTTGTTTTTTTTTTTTTTGGAGGGGGGAGGGACACTGCATGGCATGTGGGATCAAACCTGTGCCCCCTGAACTGGAAGGCAGTCTTAACCAATGGACTGCTAGGGAAGTCCCTATTTCACACTTACATTCTGGAGTGCCAAGTCAAGTGGGCCTTAAGAAGCACTGCTGTTAATAAAGCTAGTGGATGTGATGAAATTCCAGCAAAACTATTCAGATCCCTAAAGGATGATGCTGTCAAGGTTTTGCATTCATTATGTCAGCAAATATGGAAGATCCAGAAGTGGCCACAGGACTGGAAAAGGTCAATCCTCATCCCAATTCCCAAGAAGTATAGTACTAAAGAATGTGTTAATCATCAGACAATTGCACTCATCTCCTGTGCTAGTAAGGTCATGCTTAAAATCTTGCATGCCATGCTTCAGCATTATGCGAACCAAGAACTTCCAGATGTCCAGGCAGGGTTTCGAAAGGAAGAGGACATAGAGATCAAATTGCCAACATTTGCTGGATTATAGAGAAAGCTAGGGAATTTGAGAAAAACATCTATCTCTATTTCATTAACTATGCTAAAGCCTTTGACTGTGTGGATCATGACAAACTGTGGAAAGCTCTTAGAGAGATGGTAATACCAGACCCATCTTATATCTTACCTGTCTTCTGAGAAACCTGGATGTGGGTCAAGAAGCAACAGTTAGAACCCTGTATGGAACAACTGATTGGTTCAAGGTCGAAAAAGGAGTATGACAGGGCTGTCTGCTGTCACCCTGCTTGTTTAACCTATACGCTGACCACATGTGAGAAATGCCAGGCTGGATGAATTACAAGCAGAATCAAGATAGGAAGGAGAAACACCAACAGCCTCAACAACATCCACATATCAACAACCTCAGATATGCGGATGATACCACTCTAAGCTGAAGCTCCAATACTTTGGCCACCTGATGCAAAGAACTGACTCATCTGAAAAGGCCCTGATGCTGGGAAAGATTGAAGGAAGGAGAAGGGGACGACAGAGCATGAGATGGTTGGATGGCATCTCTGACTCGATGGACATGATTTTGAGCAGGCTCCAAGAGTTGGTGATGGACAGGGAAGCCTGGCATGCTGCAGTCCATGGGGTCGCAAAGAGTCAGACATGACTGAGCGACTGAACTGAACCACTCTAACGGCAGAAAGCGAAGAACGGAAGCACATTTGGATCCTGACTCACCTCACACAACAGGATATGTGCAGAACACATGTCTGTGCAGATCCTGACTCACCCCACACAACAGGAAATGGAGCAGGGCACACATGTGTTTTGTGCACACGTGTGTATCAACTCACCCAAAAGGAAATGGATAAGGGCACACATGTGTGCCCAGAGCACACGTGTGTGTGAATCCTGACCCACCCTACACAACGGGAAAAGGAGAAGGGCAGGTGTGCAGAACACATGTGTGTGCGGAGCGCTTTAGGGCCGGGCACACAGGGGATGACCTGCTGCGGGCCCTGCTTGTCCACCTTCCCGTGTAGCTGCTCTCAGTGGTAAACAGTCCTGAAAACCAGCCAGGGGTGGGTGGGGGTAGCTGGCAAGACCTCCACAAGAAGCGGCCCTGGTGGGTGACCCCAGCTGACCCTGTCGCTGCTCTACCCTAGTCACTGTGTCACGGCTGAGTTCAGAGTTGGAGCTGCTCAAAGCCACAGTCCAACTTGGGAGCATCCAGTCGTCTCCAGGGTGCCTGCAATCTGAGTGCAGAGTGGGAACAACTGCAGTCCTCATGGCTCTTGTGCTCGGCCACTCTGGTACCTTCGCTCAGCCTCAGCGACACCCCCAGAGAAGCTCGCTGTTTGTCTTTAGAATTCTATAATTAGGGTGGCTGCAGGGAACTTTAATGAGCTCTGTTTCTATGGCAATCTAGCATCATGAGGACTCTGACAAGGTGAAAAAAATACACTTTAAAAAGGGAGCTTAGAGCAACAGACGTCGAAACAAACCAGGCAGCCCCCAGATTTGGGGGGGGGGGCGCGTGAGGAGTGCTGAACTTTCAGGGCAGGTCATGATGCTCTTGGAGGCCTCTCTGGCTTTTTGTTAGACATGGACGCACCACCCAGGTGACTGGCCCAGCCAGCACAGCTTCCAGACAGCCCTGTAGACTCAGAACTACAGCAGGAACACACCTGCAGCAGGGCACCTGTGTCAGCTGAATGCCTCCCTCGTAGTTCTAGGTTGGTGACCAGCCCAAGGCAAGGCCAGGGAGCTGGGAGGTACCCACAGCCCTGGGGCTGGGCTGGGGGTGGGGTCCTTGGCAGAGCAGTGCTGCTGCCTCCAGGCCTGGCTTCCTGCGGGGGAGCCGTGTCCCCTGGGATCCAGGCCCCAGGCAGCAGGGCATTCACTCAGGTTGCCCTGTCCTCACCAGCCACATGTTCTACCAAAACCCTCCTACTGCAGGCTGCATGTGACCATCTGAAAAAAAGAAGTCTGAGATTTAGGTGGGATGCTGGCCTGAACTGGGGGACATGTCTGGAGCTGCTGTGGCACCTGGTGGCTGCACACGCTGGGCATCCCTGAGGGACACAGTGAGAGTGGACACAAGCCCCACAAAGCCCATGAACCATACAGCTTGTGGGCCTTCCCCCAAGGGCTGGTGTCACCTGACCGTGGATCCAGCCACCCACTGCTAGGCACACCAGGTGACCTGTCTCAGGAGGGACCTGACACTACCCCTAGAGCCATACAACCCAGACCCATGTCCCCCTGCAGCCCTGCAGGTCATGACGGGGGCAGGGCAGCAGTGAGCAGGACGTGGCTGGGCTGGTGGGGGGGGCACTCCTCCAGGGTCCTCACTCACATGGCTTCCTGCTTCTCACTCTGAATTGTGTCCCGTTGCCCTGAGAGATGAGTGAAGGGGCGCAAGGCCACAGATGCAGACTGGGAAGGGTCTCGGAGCTGCTATGGCAGGAAGTCAGCCATGTGGGGATGGTAGCAGTTTGGTCCCCTCAGCAGGCTGGCTCCCATGAAACCTGGCCCTCCTCACATGGTCCTAATGTGATTCCTAAGCCTTGACATTGCTAGCAGGGAGCTGATCTCACCTGGGTCTACCACAACCCAAGAAGGACAACCCTGGCATGTGACTGGCCCGGGGCCATCACATGACCAAAACCACCCAATCAGGCTGCAGGCTTCCCCCCCCACCCCCAGACTGGCCACCCCTGCTGGCCAGAGGAGCAGGGACACAGGGCCCAGCATGGCTGACTGCGTGGACAAGGCGGGTCAGTCCTGCAATAGCCACGGGAAGATGGAGTGACTGGGGCTGGGCTCGGCTGGACCCACCTCACGCCGCCACCCTCTGGACACACGCGGTGGGGACAACCTCCATCAGCCGTGGGCCTGGAGGTCTGTGGAGCACCTGCCAGCAGCGAGGCCAGCAGCACTGGAGGGTGCACTACGGAACCTCCCCTGGGGAGCCTGGGGCCAGACCGTGTCCTGTCTCCCGGGGCCTCGCGTGCAGCAGAGAGAAGAGGTGCAGGGGCCCCACCCAATGCAACACCCCGTGTGCCAAGCAGTGGGGCAGAGATATGGCCCCAGAGTTCACCCGCCAGACACTCCCCCCACCCGGTGGCCAAGATGGACATCTGAGTCGTGCCTGTGAGGACACAACAGCTGAAGGTCCGAACTCTAGGTTCCGTCGACAGGAGAGTGGCTGCGGGAGCCACAGAGCAGCCAAGGCGGGGAGGGGAGGAGTGCAAGGTGGCCCTCGAGGCAGGAAGCCTTCATATCTCCCTTGAGGGAAGACAACAGGAGAGGCCCTGAGAGTGGGTTCACTCTCACAAAGGTGAGGAGGGACCAGCGCAGGACAAGGGTTCTGATGTTTGTAAAGAGAAACACTTCAGTGGAACAAAGCCTTCTGCTTCCCGAGGCCGGGACAGCGAGGACCCAGCCAGCACCGTGCAACAGGGTCCAGGGCAGCCCAGCTACTAAGACCCCAAGGCCCAACCCATCGGCTCAGTTGCCATCACAGGACCAGATGCTCCATCAAAGGACAAGACCTTGATGAGGCTCAGGCAGTGGAGACCAGAGTCACAGCCTCAAGGTCCCAGGAGGTGCAGGCCACCTACCTGGGCTCCTCAATCTGTCCCTCTGCCCCCCGACACCATTAGTGACTGTTATGAAGTCCAACCCTGGACTTGCCTGGTGGTTCAGTGGTAAAGAATCTATCTGCCAATGCAAGGGACAGGGATTTGAGCCCTGGTCCCGGAAGATCCCATATGCCGTGGAGCAACTGAGCCCACACTCCACGAGAGAAGCCACTGCAGTGAGAAGCCCAGGCATCACAACTAGAGAGCAGCTCCTGCTCACCACAGCTAGAGAAAAGCCCACACAGTAATGAAGACCCAGCACAAGCAAAAACAAGGAAGCCAACCTAAGAGGCATTCTGGGGGGTGGGGTATTGTAACAGTTCCAATTTCTAACAAGTTTCATCACAAAGAGACAAACTGTCATGAAGTGAGTTCAGTTTTGATGAAACAGCTGACCAAGACCAGTGTTTTCTCAGAGCTTCTGGAAGAACACAGAGACTTGCGAGTCACTTACTGCCAGTAAGCTCACGCTGAGCCAGCCCATCTCTATCTGGAGGCTTTCCGTTACGGACTCACTTTTAAAAACAGCACAAGTTCTGGAGCTGCTCACAGCCCACCTGTGCTGTCAGGGCCAGCGTTACCTGCTGCATCCATGGCTGGGAGCACAGGGCCAGGCAGATGGAGACGCAGCTCTGGCCAGAGAACATGAGCCCCGCATGTCCCCGGGGAAACAATGGGCAGAGACTGGGGATGCAGCCCTCTGAAGGTCAGCGGGAGATCGCTGGGCCACAGTGAAAACGAGGCCCATATCACAGCCAGATGTGCAGGTCAGAGCAGGAGACGAGGCTGGTTCCTGGGAGGCCAAGCGAAGAGGGAGGCCCGCAGCTTGTGGGAACCAACTGTAGATAAAAGCTGGGGTTTATGGGGAACTACATTTAATACACTATAATAAACCAAACAGAAAAAGAAAAAAATATATACGTATAATCAAATCACTTTGCTGTACATGTGAAAGTAACATGACATTGTAAATCAACTATAGTTAAAATTAAAAAAACAAAAACAAAAACAAAAACAACTGGGGTTCAGGGCAGCAGAGACAAGCCTCCCTGAGGGGTCACCTCAGTCTACCTAGACATGTGACAGACCCACAGGCTGCCTCCAGCAGGGTCTGGGGGCTGGAGATCTGGGTTCTGACGATGGCCTCTCCCCAGGGTCTCCTCTCACGGGGTACAAGCCCCCTCCAATCCCAACTATTACCTCCCAAAGTCCTCATGGCCTCACACACATTTGGGGGCGGGGCTTCTGCACAGGACTTTGGGGGTCACATTTGGTCCCAAACGATCTGCTCCTGGTCCCTCCAGATTCATGCTTCTCTTGCACGCAAAACACTGTATCCAACAGCTCCAAGGCTCCACTTCAGCAGCAACTCTGACATCCACAGCCCCATTAAAAATGATCTAAATTGCAGGAGTGACACTCAGCTGTAATTTGTCCTGAGGAAATCTACCTCCACCCCCACCCCTCACCCAGGCCCAGTTCAGACCTGTTAGACCAGACAAGCTGTGTTTCCAAAATGCAATGCTGGGGGAACTTCCTGGCGGTCCAGTGGGTAGGACTCAGTGCTCTTTCTGCTGGGGCCCAGGTTCAATCCCTGGTCAGGGAACTAAGATCCCACAAGCCATGCAGCGTGGCAGGAGAAAAAAAAAGCAACATTGGACAGGAAGAGGATGGCCAGTCCCGCTCCAAAAGGACGAATGGAAAAGCAGGGAAAGCGACAAGTCCCCAGGGAGCCCACACTTGGCAAGGCAAGTCCACTGGCTCTATGAGGCTCATGAATGACCCACCTGGTTTGATGCTGTTCCCCAGCCTCACTGGAAGATCGGAGTGACCCCCACTATGGGGCTCTTGCAAACTCCCCGAGGAAATGGGAATGTGAAGAAATGAACCTAAAACCCAGGCTTCCCTTCGAGGCATCTGTCAAGTCCTATGCTATGGAGTTCAGGGCAGAAGGCCAAGAAATGAAGCTACACAGCTGTTAAATGGGGAAAAAAAAAAGCCCAATATGAGATTTTTGGCTGACTCATGGTGTTGGGGAGACAAAAGATGGAGACTGGGGTCCTAGTCACCCCCCTGGACTTTTCCAGCTACAATTACTATAAGACATTAAAGGAAAATGAGGAACAGACCAGCATCAGCGGAGTCCAGGTGACCCATCCACAGTCCATCTGCCAGGATGAGATCAAGTCCCTTCAGGAGGAAATAACATCACTCAGAGCTCCTGCTGCTTTGCAAACACAGGATCCGATATTCAGAAATCACCAGGCCAGCCAAAAAGCAGAAACATTTGGTCCAACAGTCAATAGAAATGGACTCACAGGAGAGCCAGATATTCAACATACATTAAAAAAGATGGTAAAAGGACAGAATTTTACCCAAGAACTGGATCTATTGAAAAAGGAGTCAAATTCTAAAGACCCTAGGATTTTAGAAATTCTCCAAGTGAAAATACAGCATCTGAAATTAATAATTCAGGAGACAGATTTAAGAATAGGCTAGGGCTTCCCTGGTGGCTCAGTGGTAAAGAATCCGCCTGACACTGTGGGTTCAATCCTTGGTCCAGGAAGATCCCACATGCTGCAGAGCAACTAAGCCTGGGAGCCAAAACTACTTGAGTCCATATGCCACAACTATGGATGCCTGCTCACCCTAGAGCCTGTGCCGCAACAAGAGAAGCCACCGCAGTGAGGAGCCCGGACACTGCAACTAGAGAGTAGCCCCTGCCCACCGCAACCAGAGAAAAGTCCATGAGGCAAGGAAGACCAAGCACAGAAAAATAAATCAAAAAATTTAAAAAGAACAGGTTAGATAAAATAAGAGACAGTAGAAGATCCAGAGCTTCCCTGGTAGCTCAGCTGGTAAAGAATTCACCGGCAATGCAGGAGACCCCAGTTCAATTCCTGGTTTGAGATCATCCCCTGGGGAAGGGAAAGGATATAAACTCCAGTATTCTGGCCTGGAGAATTCCATGGACTGCATAGTCCATGGAGTCGCAAAGAGTTGGACACAAATGAGCGACTTTCACTTTCAGATGAGAAGATTCAGACTGCAGCACACAGAGAGGGGAAAGCAGGATGGAAGGAAGTGCAGAAGAGAGCAAAAGCGCCCGTGGGACCCGGTGAGAAGACAGGGATGCGGAGGTGGAGTCTGAGGGGGTAGCGGCAAGCGGGGAGGGGCCGGGCAGCACCTGAATGGACTGGGCTGACACCTTACAGTGGAGATAAGAGACTCTGTGCCCAAGATGAGACGCTCACAATCTCAAGGTAAAGTCAATATTCCCCCTCTTTCTCAAGTCTGTTGAAACAGAAGAACGAAGGCTGTTCTTTTCATTGAAATCACTGATAATATTTATTAAGCATTTATATAAAAGTGTTCATCTAAGCTTTTTACTAGACTTCCCTGATGGTTCAGTCAGTCAAGAATCTGCCTGCAGTACAGGAGAGCCAGGTTCAATCCCTAGGTTGGGAAGATCCCCTGGAGAAGGGGATGGCTACCCACTCCAATATTCTTGCCTGGAGAATTCCATGGACAGAGAGCCTGGTGGGCTACAGTCCACGGGATCAGAGAAAGTCAGACAAGACTGAGTGATGTTCACTTTCAAGCTTTTTACAGAAATACCGCATTAAACAGGACCCACACTTACAATGAAATTTCAAGTATCTTAAAATTTTTCTAAAACAGAAACTAAGGGATAAAGAGACTAAGTTGCTTGACCAAGGCACTCAAGCTATAAAAACACAATCTGGCTTCCAAGATTTTGAAGCTCATGTGTGTAAGAAGGACAATTATGTAAAATAAATATCATGTCTGACAGATGAAACATGAGTTCACACACTCTGAAGACTAAGTTAAGAATAGGTCATGGGATATGATTTTCTCACATTTATAAATACAAGAAATTTAAATGCAATTTAGTAATTTTGAATATAATTTGATAAATTTGGCCAAAAACCATTTTTTAGGCAGCCAGAGAAGAAAGAGAAGCACCCCCTCCTAGGGAGTAACAGAGTGGTCAGGCGAGTCTCCAAGAGACACAGTAACACAGCCACAGCCAAGATACCAAGCCCCAGGCATGCAGAGAGCATCACTGCCCCCTGGGCAACACACCCAGAGAAAACAGCCTCAAAAATGAAGGCAGGCGAAAGACGTCTGCACGAACCAAAACCCAGCAAACCTCGTTAGGAGAAATACTAAAAGAACTTCAGGAAGGAAAATGGTCTCGGACGTAAGCACAGTCCTTCAGGAAGAAACGGGTGCGTGAGAAGGGGAATCTGAATGAACGCTATTTAAAACAACATTAATAGTGGTTGTGAGGCTTAAACTGTAAGCAGTGCTTACACATTAAGACAACAGCATAAAAATCGATAAGGGGATAAATAAGACTAAAGCACTGTAAGGTTCTTGAATTATCTGCGAACAGTAAAAGGAATAACTTAAGATACATTCCAAGAATGTTTTGTATAATTCCTCAGGTAGCTGGAATATTTTTTAAAAAGTATTAATTAGCAAATATAATAAAAGGTGGGGGTGGAGGTGGAAAAATAACACTTGATTAAACCAAAAGAAGACAAGAAAGGAAGGCTAAAAGAAAGAATATATTGGGTCAATTACAAAATAAACAGTAAGATGATAGATTTAAATTGTAATTTACCAGAATAACATTAAGTGTAAATAAACTAATGCTTCAGTTAAAAGATACAGATTTCATGCTAGGTTAAAAACAACAATTAACTTCTGTTTATAAGAGCCATTTCCAAAACATGATATACAGAAGTTGAGAGTATAGGATGGAAAAAATATACCACATGAACAATATGTCTTCCTCACTCTGCCACACACACACACACACACACACAGAGGCATAGTTGTACTGATGTCAGACAAAGGAGACTTAAATGTCATAATACTTTTTCATCTAAAAGAGCAAAATTTCATGATGATAAAAGTGGCGCATTTAAAGGAAGATATAATGATCCTAGGTTTGTATGCACCTAATAAAGCACAAAATACATGAAGGAAAACAAAAGGAAAAAGACACATCTCCAAATGGGTAAAGGGGATCAACTGTATGATAACAAATGAAAACTAAATTTTTGGTGGTGATCATGCTGTGGCAGAAATATAACAAAGTAGAAACATAATGTTATACACATGAAACTTGTAATAATGTTATAAACCAAAGTTACCTCAGTAAGAAATATAGTAGTGAACCAAAAAATAAGTGAAACACAATTAAATTTAAAATGTTAACCACAGAAAACTAAAACAACCGATGGCTTGAACATGGTGGGAGTGGGTAAAAAAAAAGGAGAAGTTGTACATTAAAAAAGAGAGAGAGAGAAGACAAATCTGTAATAATTTAATGTCTATAAATAGTAAAGATATTCTAAAGGTAATAAAGATACACACTATGCCAATAAGTATGTTTAGACCTGAAAATCTATAGGGGTTGGAAAGAGCTGGACACGACTGAACGACTTTCACTTTTTCTTTTCACTTTCAGACTTGAAAATATCCTTAAAAACACAACTTACTAAAGGTGACAAAAGAAGAAATACAAAATCTGAATAATCTGTATTTTAAAAATTAAATCTAGAATTTAAAACATTCCCACAAAGGAACACAAACCTTTGTTGTGAATTGTTTCAAGTAATTAATTTAGAAATAATATTAATCTTAACATAAATCTTCCCAAGAACTAAAAAAAAAGCTCAATTTTTTAAGGCAAATATACCTCAACATTAAAAAAAACTAAGACCATGGCATCTAGTCCTATCACTTCATGGCAAAAAGAAAGGGAAAAAGTGAAAGCAATGACAGATTTTATCTTCTTGGGCTCCAAAATAACTGCAGACAGTAACTGCAACCATGAAATTAAAATGCTTGCTCCTTGGAAGGGAAACAATGACAAATTTAGACAGTGTATTAAAAACCAGAGACAGCACTTTTGCTGACCAAGGTCCAAGCTATAGTTTTTCCAGTAGTGATGTATGGATGTGAGAATTGGACCATAAAGAAGGCTGAGCACTGAAGAATTGATGCTTACTAATTGTGATGCTGAAGATGACTCTTGAGAATCCCTTGGGCAGCAAGGAGAGCAAACCAAGAAGGACTTCCCTGGTGGTCCAGGGGTTAAGACTTTGCCGTCCAATGCAGGGGGTGTGGGTTTGATCCCTGGTCAAGGAACTAAGATTCCACATGCCAAAAAAAAAAAAAAAAAAGAAAAAAACCCACAAAAAAACCAGAAGCAATGTTGTCACAAATTCAATAAAGACTTTAAAAATGGTCCACATCAAAAACTGTAGTGTTGGAAAAGACTCTTCAGAGTCCCTAGGACTGAAAGGAAATCCAACCAGTCCATCCTAAAGGAAATCAGTCCTGAATATTCATTGGAAGTACTGATGCTGAAGCCAAAACTCCAATACTTTAGTCACCTGATGCGAAGAACTGACTCATTAGAAAAGACCCCGATGCTGAGAAAGACTGAAGGCAGGAGGAGAAGGGGACGACAGAGGATGAGATGTTTGGATGTCATCATCAACTCAATGGACATGAGTTTGAGTAAACTCTGTGAGTTGGTGATGGACAGGGAGGCCTGGCGTGCTATAGTCCATGGGGTCACAAACAGTTGGACACAACTGAGCGACTGAACTGAACTGAACTGAACATCAAAAAAAAAAAAAAATCTTAACAACCACCACCAAGAAAGACACCCTTGAAGAAAAACAAAAATACATGATATTAAGAGTTATTATAAAGCCAATTTAAAACCATGTGACATTGTGCAAAAGGCCAAAGGGACAGAAGTCCAGAAATGCCCCCCTCCCCACCAACAGTTGATAATAAAGACATCACTGAATCATGGTGAGAGGAGGATGCTTTTTCCTATAAGTGGTCCTGGCTCAACCTGCTATCACCACAGGGAGCAGGGGCGGGGGAACCTCACACCACACAGTTTACTCCCAGGTGTGGTAGGACAAATGAGGGTTATGATTCTGTCAGGAAAGAAAACACTCAGGACCTGGGGTTCAGGGTCAGTTTCTCTAACAAAAGGCACACACAGTAAAGGAAGTGTCCATTTTTGTTCACCAAGAGTGGAAAGGCAAGACGCTGAGTGAGATGCTAGCAGTGTCACAAACACACAGAACACACAGAGTTCCTACAAATCAGTAAAGTAGACACATAGCCCATTAAGTTGTTTTTAAACAACCTGAATCTGAAACTGAGGAAAAGACTTGGAGGAGCAGCTGACAGCAGTGGGTCTTAAACAGCCTATAAGTGAGAAGACGCTCAGCTTTGGGGGCAAAGAGGAAATGCAGACCATGACCACGATGTGATACCACTCACAGGTCTACTCTGATGGCAGAGAGCTCTGACAACCCCAGGGCTGGGGAGGACAAGGGAGCGGGACCCTGGAGCCCAGGGATGAGGGTGGATGGTCATCACAGCTGGGCTCCTGACATGTGCCTCCTGAGACCCCAGGAGTCTCTGAGCATCCTTTGTAAGCTGAGACTGGCTTCAGGTTGGGGATTGGTCGTCAAAGTCCAAGGCAAGATTAGAGGGTCAGAACTTCTAGCTCACACCTGACCTCTGGGGAGGTGAGAGGGACAGAAGGTCAGGCCTAACTCTGGGTCACAGACGGTCAGTGGGCTGCCCATACAGCCACGTCCCTCACCTGTCTCCATACACTTTCAGCACTGTCTATCCTGACCTCAAAGATCTGGGCACAGATCCCCATCTCTCTGTCAACATCGATGGCCCTGACCTTCCCTGTCTTTGTCTACACCTCAGACCCACATCCCTCAGAGCCACCCACTTTCCAGGCCTGCATTTGTGCTGCACCCAACTTTCCCTCTGCCCAGATGCCAGCCCTCATCCAACCTCAGAGACCATGACTCTCCGAAACACCGTGATCTTATGGACCAGAAAGATAGAAAATGACACTGCCAACTAAATGGGAACTCCAGGCTGCAGGATGCACTCAGTTTCAGCCACGTTAGACCTAATGGAATGAACCGGGTGTGGGGGGTACTCCCGGCTCCCCTGAAAGGAAGCCAGCCTGCCCTTCACCCTGTGCTGATCTCTTCCACTTGGTTGGACATTTAGGAACCTCGATGGACAGATGGTTGGGCAGCAGGTTGGACACACGCACATGCCAAGTTTTGTAAATCCTGAGTCTGAGGATGAATCATAAGGAATGAGGTCTTGGGGGAGGATCTGCACCTCATGATGCAGGAGCTCAGAAAGGGTCTGGCAAGGGTGGGCTTCATCCCAGGCAGGGCTGTGGTCCAAGCTGGGTCCAAGCTGAGCTGGGGAGATTGGGGGGAGAGGGGAAGCAGTGCTCAAGAGCGAGTGTCCTTGGAATGCAGGCTGGGGCCACCCACAGGGGCAGCAGAGAGCAAGCAGCGAGGAGGACGGTTCTGCTGCATGAACCAGCCTGTAGGAGCAGATCCAAAACCAGATGAGGGGGCAGGGGTGTGGGTGGGGCTCCTAACTGGAACTGACCCAGCAGGCTGGGCTGCCTCCCCTGACTGAAGTCCTTCACCATCACTCCTTCCCGCCCTGGACTCCGCACTGGTCACATCTCATCTTCTCTAAACCTCCACCCCTCCGCATCGCTCTCAGGCCCCCAGACCCTAGCTTGTCCACAGACCCCGAGTGTACCTGCAGCCTCCAGGGTGCATCCCCTTGCTCCCCCTTCCCTTCCCCAAGACCCTCACATCAGCCCCCATCTCCTCTGTCTAGCTCCCTGGCTCTCCTCTCCACTGCTACTTCTTGGCTGATATGTGGTCCTTTCTTGACCACGTGCTGCTGCTGCTGCTAAGTCACTTCAATCGTGTCCAACTCTGCAACCCCATAGACGGCAGCCCATCAGGCTCCCCCATCCCTGGAATTCTCCAGGCAAGAACACTGGAGTGGGTTGCTATCTCCCTCCCCAATGCATGAAAGTGAAAGTGAAGTTGCTCAGTGTCCGACTCTTAGCAACCCCATGGACCGCAGCCTACCAGGCTCCTCCGGCCGTGGGATTTTCCAGGCAAGAGTACCAGAGTGGGCTTGACCCCCTAGGTGATCCCAAAATACCTTCCTAATCTTTTTCCACTCGACTTGCTGTTACAGATTGAATTCCTCTGTTGAAGCCCACTCCAGTGATAATATTAGGAGGTGACTGGGTTTAGATGTGGTCAGGTGGGTGGGGCTCTCACAAATGGATTAGTGTCCTTCCTGGAAGAGAAAAAGGCCAGAGCAGAGGATGCAGAAGGTGGGAGTCCCTCTCCTGACAGCCCTGTAGGCTTCACTCCCACCAGCTCAGTCCAGGCCACCTGGGGTTTTCCACAAGTGGTTTGAGGTGGACAAGTGACTAAGGGCATGAGGCATCAGTGTGACCCAGTAGCCAGGGGACCCTCATGAGGCACCTGATGGAGGGTGACTGTTCCGAGGAAGTCAGCATGCAGAGAGAGAAGCAGGTCCGGCTGCCCCATGATGAGCCAGCTCACTCCTGGCCATTGGGTTTCCAGTCTTTCCAGACTAGAGATCTGTCTTCAGTTTCCACTCACTCATAGGAGCCCTAACGAAAGCCCTCTCCTGTCCAGCTCTTCCCCTGCCACAGCTCCCCTGGCAGAAACCTGCCCTCCCTGAGTGCCCAGCCCGCACCCACATCCACTGGTTCTGCCTTCAGACGACTCTTGATTCGCCCCCGGCACCGGGACCCCAGATCCCAGCCTGTCCCATGTGGTTCTCAGCACTGACACAATCAAATCTCAGGGATCCACACGCCCCCAGGCCATGATGTGGGCTCCCCCTGCCCCGAGGTGGGTCTGTAAGATGGTGTGCAGACAGGGTTGCAGGGTGGCAGAGCCCAGACCTGGCACCCCTTGTGTCAGCCACTGAGTCAGAGCTGCTGTCACACTCCCCGCTTCCTCAGGCCTTCTGTGGGTGTCCTGATGCAGCTCAGCCCAGCGTGTTTGAATGCCTGTGATGACATCTACTCATCATCAGAGGAGAAAGGGGCGGCTACTGTGACTTCACTTTACAGATGAGCAAACTGAAACCACCCAAGGCCAGGGGTCTCCCGGCTGCCCCCACCACTCCCAGGGCTCCTATCGGTGCTCTGTCTGTGTCTCACCCCAGGAATCCCTCCCTGGAGGCCAGAAACCAAAAGCACTGGTTGGCTAAGTATCTGCCCCCAGGGACGTCCGGTCCTAATCCCCAGCCTGAGCCTCCTCACACAGGGGCAGGGACTCTGCTGCTGCTGCAATTAAGGTAAGGACCCTGGGAGGGGGTGATCCTGGATTATCTGGAGGTTAGTGTCATCACAAGGTCCTCCTAAGGGAGAAGCAGGAGGGTCAAGTCAGAGGGAAGACATGGGGACAGAAGCCTCAGGGTATGCTCCTCACTCACCGGGCCCCCAGGGGCTCATCTGCCCCAACCACATCTGGTCCAAGAAGGAGGCCTCCAAGAGAGACAGAGAGATGACTGGCCTCCACTCCCTTCCTTCTACTGCAGTCCTGGAACCATACTGGGGGCCAGGCAGGGCCCTCCTGGACAGCCCTGTTCACCCCAAAGGAAGGATCTCCATCCCCACTCAATGTCTCAAAGCAGCCAGTCAGCTCCTCCTTGCAGCTCTTAGCCTCATATGACTACCTCATCCCAAATCCATTTGCTCAGATGACCACTTAGGGAGAACTGCACACACCATCCATGCTGCACTTGGTCACTCCCAGGCCACAGGAGAAAAGCCCCGTTCCATCAACTGTGAGCCCCGAGTGCACCCACAGCTGCCGTTTCCCCCCCACCCACAGCTCCTTTTAAGCTGTTCGTGCAGGTGGCCTGTGGGTCCCATCTCCCCAGCCAGGAACAAGCTGGCTCCTGGTCATCTGCAGGCCCGGTTACAATACCGCCTTCCCACCAATGCCGAGTCCTCAGCATCCTTGCCAAAATAGTGCCACAATGCACAAATGCACACGGTGGCTATGTAGGAGACAGGAGTAACCCGGGATCAGCCCAGCAGCTCCTGCCGAGGCCAGTGTCCCTGGCTGAATAAGTGCCTTGGACACATCTGTCCTCAAACAGGGACTGTGCGTGCAGAGTCAACACCTCCAATCCCAATGGCTTCTCCCCTCACTGGAGAGATGGGGCTTGCACACCTGTCTATGCCCATGTTAACCTGCCTGCACCCACCTGAACACACTCACCTGTCCACATTCACCTGTCCACACACACCTGTCCATGCTCATCAGTCCACACTTAGCCGCCCACACTTACCCACATGGTTCACACAGGACCCACCCCCCAGTTCTCCCTTTCCTGGTCCTCCCAGGTCCTGCCAATCTTCTCTTGGCACTGGACTCCTGCCCCTTTTCCCTTTCCCTGACCCTTGGCCCCACTGTCTTTGGCCTTGTGGGCAGCAGTGGGCCCCACAGGCATGCTGGCCCTAACCCACTCTGCAGCAGGGTGCCCACCTGGTCCACACCCCAACCAGGCAGTTCCACCTCACAGCCATACCAGGCTTCCTTCTCCTCCTCCTCCAGCCACACCAGGTCCCTCAGCATCCAAACTCTGTCCACACCAGGGCCCAGGCCTGCCCCACCCCACCCCCACCCCACCTCTTATCTCAGCTAAAACCGCATCTCCCTGGGGTGGCAGCAGCCCCGTGACCTTCTGGCACCTGTATGTCCTCCCCCCTCCAGAGCACAGGCTCATGTGGACAGGTGGCATACTTGGGTCCCTGAACAAGATACGGGTTACAGGGGCCTTGCACACAGAAGCTGAGAGGTGCAGGCAGCCTGTGAGCAGCAAGGCTGCTCTCCTTGCTGCCCTGCGGGAAGGGCCCAGCATCCATGGCCACCACACCAGCCCCTGCGGCTCTGAGGCCCCAAGTCTGGTTTCAGCCACAGAGAAGGTAACCTGTGATGCTCAGCAGTTGACAGCCTCCACCCCCTGCCTTTCCCGCCACGTGTCAGGGTGTGGGGGGGGCTGACAGAAAGCCTAGAGGATGGGATGGGAGCGGAGAGGTTCACACCCTGAATGCCCCAGCCTGGCTCACCCCCTTCCCCAAAACTGAAACCCAAGCTGCCCCCTCCAGTCATCTGGGACCAGTTTGGGAGCCCATGGCTCTCCCATGCGTCTCATTATGTGAACAGGACAGGCACCCTGTAGAGTCAGGGTCACAGGGCGTGCAGTGCCCCCTCTACTGCCTCTCGCTGCTGCCCAAACAGGAGCCCGGAAGACACTGGCCCCTCGAGTCCCACATCCCAAGCAGCCCCAGGAATTACTCTCCTCCTGGCCCATGGGTTTCCCAGGGGCAGGAGCTGAGTTCATGTGTCTTCCAGGTGAGCAGCCGGAGCAAGGGCTAAACGGACAAGCAGCACCTGCCAGTCAAGCCCCCTCCCCACCCCAAGAGGGACTAAGGAGCAAACTGCAGCCCCACACACCAGGGAAGGCTTCCCACAGAAAACTGCTTATTCAACTGTCATGTTAAAGGTTTTCCATGTCGATGTGATGTGAATTGATTTGAGAGACAGTTAGAAAGAGCACTGGGGCCACGTGTCCACAACCACCTCACATGTGTTCGGGAGGGGTGGTGCACTCCCCCACTGGGCATGAGAGCATCTCCTAGGCCCCGCAGACACACCTGCTTTTTCTCCACACCTTCCCAGTAGTGTATATATCCCCGGTCAAGAGAAGCTCTGTCCTCTCCCCAGAAGGAGAGGCCTCTTTATGAGAAAAACAGTAACAGAAAAAGTGATGGTGGGGCCATTTACCCCAGAGTTGGCTGCACACCTTTGCTTTGTGGCCCTTGAGTAAGGCAAAGAGGGGCTGCGTTTTAGACTCTTCTCTGCAAAATTGTAGTAAAGAAGGAGCAAAATACAAACAGTTCCTATGAATCTAGAAACAAACTAACAAAAACTTGTAAGCAGACCTTGAAAAGCCCACAGCAGACTCTGAAGGAAAATGTAAATTCAAAAAGACTCCTGTGGCAGAGCAAGGGGTGGGGTGGGGAGAGGACTGACTCTGGGACCACTCCTAACCCCCCCAGCCTGACCCATCACCCTTCTGACCATAGGGCCCAACCCAGAAGGATGAGCCTCCACCCACCAGACAGGAAGCACAGCTCTGCTGTGTCTGATAAAAAGGAAAAGGGGGAGAGGGAGAGAAAACTGGATGTTTTCCTAAACTCCCATCACAGTCCTCCCCAGTGAAAAGGATCCCACAGTGATGTGAACCCCATGCAGGACATTCGTGATCCACTATTAGCACACATTAATCCTTCAGTGTACGCACCAGTAATATGTCTGCTATAGTTGCATTTCTGCTGTATGTGCCTATGATAAATCTGCTCTGTGTCCACTATATATCTTATATCTATACTGCATCTACTATGTGCCAATGATGTATCTACTGTGTCTACCATGTATCTATTATGTATCTATTCTGCATCTACTATGTATCTATGATGGAATTAATCTGTATCTGTTTATATCTATCTACTTGGACTTCCCTGCTGGCTCAGATGGTCAAGAATCTGCCTGCAATGTGGGAGACCCGGGTTTGATCCCTGGGTCAGGAAGATCCTCTGGAGAAGGAAATGGCAACCCACTTCAGTACTCTTGCCTAGAAAATTCCATGGATGGAGGAGCCTGGTAGGCTGCAGTCCATGGGGTTGCAGAGTCGGACAACTTCACTTCACTCTATGTACTGTATGTCTGTGATATATCTATTCTGTATCTACCATATATTACATATATTACATATCTAATATGTATCTACTATGTGTCTATGATGTATATACTCTATCTACTATGTATCTACCACATGTCTATACTGTATCTACTATATGTCTAAGATGTATCCATTCTGTATCTACTATGTATCAACTACATATCTGTTCTATACCACAGGTCTATGATGTATCTGTTCTGTATCTATGAGTCATTCTGTGTCTATTATGTATCTACTCTGCATGTACTATACGCCTGTGGCTTTATGCCTGAGACACTGTGTCTCTGCTACATATAACCTGGGATGTGTCCACTCTACTGTATCAGATGCTGATCTAGACCAAGCACACACTGAACCCAGATCCCCGCACAGGCCTCTGAAGGGGTAAGCACTGACATCTGTTTCACAGGCAGGCCTGCAGGACAGCATCTGGACTCCAGGTCAGCTCGGTATTTCCAAACTTGGTTTCATCCTTAACCTCCAAGTAACAGAGCCACAGACATGAGGGACACACAGTGGACAGGAAAACACACTAATGGCGGAAGTCCCATCAGCCTGGCCAAGGCCTGTGTCCCTGTACTTGGCTCTTGTCCTAGCGCCTCATTCTAGGGGGTGAGGGACAAACATCAGGGATCTCTGACTACCACTGGGGAGAAATGGCTCGAAGCAGGGCAGGGGCGGAGAGTGGGGGCAGGTGCTGGGCCTGCCCACCTCCCCTGTGAAGCAGCCCCTCCTGCGCCTATCTCACAAGAAAGGAAACTGAGGCTCAGGGAGCCTTGTCCTGCTTCCTGCAGCCAAAGTTGACTCAGGCCAGCTCAGCCCAAGGTGCCTGGCTGTGGTCTTGACAGCTGAGCTGGAATGAATGAGTGAATAAATGAAACACACAAGCTGAAGAAAGAACAAAGCAATCAGCCTCAGACCCCCACGGAGGTCTTCCCGGGGTCTCATGACCAGGTCAAAGGGAGAGAAGAGGAGCAGGGGACAGTGCCCCGGGAAAGCCTGGGCCGCCTGGGAAGGGGGAAGGAGGACACCCACCAGCCTCTCTCTGGTCTAAGGACTCAGCTGCTGCAAGTTTCCAGGTTTCTTAAATCACGTCTGAGACTGAAAACAGCTCTGGTGATTAAACACACACAAGAGGCCGGCTTCTCCTTGAGATTAAGCCTTCTGAAAGGCTTTAAGAATTTATCAGGGGCAGGGGGTGGGGGGAAGCCCCAAGCTGTCACAACTAAATTTTGATGTGTGATTTACATATATAGAGAGAGAGAAAGAAAGAGAGGACTCGAGGGTGGGGGAAAGAGGGGTGGGGCCGACAGCAGAGGAGCCCCCTAGGGATTCCCCCACACACAACAGAGAACCTTTTAATGTCTTTTTACAAAATAAAGTATTTCCTCCCTATCCTGCTCATTTTAGAAAGTCAGACCTAAGGAATCCAGGAGCCCAGGGCTTCCAGGAGGCGAGACATCACACGGGGACAGCACACCAGGAAAACATGTTGTAAACATCACGTACCAGCACAGGCACACCTCAGGGATGCTATGGGTTTGGTTCAAGCAAACATGAAGCAAGTATCATGGTAAAGTGATTCACACAAATTTTTTGGTTTCTCGGTGCAAAGTTACGTTTATACTATAGTGTAGCCTATTAAGTGTTGCAACAGCATTATGTCTAAAAAGAATGTACATTCCTCAGATAAAAAATATTTTATTGCTAAAAGATGGTAAGCGTCATCTTAGCCTTCAGCAAATCTCTCTTTTTTTTTTCCCCACTGGAGAATGGTCTAGTCTCCATGCCGATGGCTGCTGATTGATAGGGTGCTGGGTGCTGAAGGCTGGGCTGGCTGCAGCAATTTCTTAAAATATGAGAACAATGAAGTTTGCCAAATCGATGGATTCTTCATTCACAACTGCTCTATAGCAATAACGCTGGTTGACAGTATCTTACACGTGGGAGAACTTCCTTCAAAATGGGAGGTAGGCAACACAAATCTCGATGCTGCTTTTTCAGCTAAGTTTACCTCTTATTCTAAATCCTCTGCTGTCGTGTCAACAATCTTCACAGCATCTTCACCAAGAGCAGATTCCATCTCAAGAAACCACCTTCCTTGTCGTCCACAAAAAACAACTCCTCATCTGTTAGAGTTTTATCCTGAGATGCAGCAATTCAGCCACGTCTTCAGCCAAACTTCTTTTTCTTTAAATCAATCTGTTGTTGTCCAGTCACTAAGTCATTAGATATTTCTTCAAGAAAATCACAACTACTAAGGGAACATTTCATGCAAAGATGGGCACAATGAAGGATAGAAATGGTTTGGACCTAACAGAAACAGAAGATATTAAGAAGAGGTGGCAAGAATACACAGAACTACACAAAAAAGATCTTAATGACCTGGATAACCATGATGGTGTGATCACTCACCTAGAGTCAGGCATCCTAGAGTGCAAAGTCAAGTGGACCTTAGGAAGCATCACTATGAAGAAAGCTAATGGAGGTGATGGAATTCCAGCTGAGCTATTTCAAACCCTAAAACATGATGCTGTGAAAGTTCTGCACTCAATATGTCAAAAAATTTGGAAAATTCAGCAGTGGCCATAGGACTGGAAAAGGTCAGTTTTCATTCCAATCCAAAGAAGGGCAATGCTAAAGAATGTTTAAACTACCACACAATTGCACTCATTTCATATTCTAGCAAGGTAATGCTCAAAATTCTCTAAGCTAGGCTTCAACAGTATGTGAACCAAGAACTGCCAGATGTATAAGCTGGATTTAGAAAAGGCATGGGAACCAGAGATCAAATCACCAACATCCACTAGATCACAGAAAGAGCAAGAGAATTCCAGGAAAACATCTACTTCTACTTCACTGACTATGCTAAAACCTTTGTCATGACTGAGCAACTGAACAAGTCACTAAGTCACTTGCAACCCCATGGACTGCAGCATGGCAGGCTCCCCTGTCCTTTGCTATCTCTTGGAGTTTGTTCAAACTCATGTCCATTGATTCAATGACACCATCTAACCATCTCATCTGTCACCCCTTTCTCCTCCTTCCCTCAGTCTTCCCCAGCATCAGGGTCTTTTCCAACGAGTCAGCTCTTTGAATCAATGGCCAAAGTATCAAAGCTGAAGCTTCAGTGAATATTCTGGGTTGATTTCCTTTAGGATTGACTGGTTTGATCTCCCTGCAGTCCAAGAGACTCTCAAGAGTCTTCTTCAGAAAAGTTGGAAAGTTCAGCCTTCTTTATGGTCCAACTCTCACATCTGTACATGACTACTGGAAACACCACAGCTTTAATTATACGGACCTTTGTTGGCAAAGTGATGTCTCTGCCTTTTAATATGCTGTCTAGGTTTGTCATAGCTTTTCCTCCAAGGAGCAAGTGTATTTTAATTTTGTAGCTGCATTAATTAATTACTATTTTTGGCTGTGCTGGGTCTTTATTGCTGCACTCAGGCTCTCTCTAGTGGTGGCGAGCAGCAGCTACTCTGGTGTGGTGTGGGGGTTTCTCATTGAAGTGCAGGCCCCACTTCTAATTCCAGCTCTCTTGCTGTTTCCACCACATCTGTAGTTGCTTCCTCCACTGAAGTCTGGAACTCCTCAAAGTCATCCATGAGCACTGGAATCAACTTCCTCCAAACTCCTGTTGTTGTTTAGTCACTAAGTTGTGTCCGACTCTCTTGTGACCCCATGGAATGTAGCCCCCAGGCTCCTCTGTTCATGGGATTTCCCAGGCAAGTATACTGGAATAGGTTGCCACTTCCTCCTCTAGGGGATCTTCCCGAGCCAGAGATCGAACCAGTCCTGCATCTCCTGTATCGGCAGGTGGATTCTTTACCATTGTGCCACTTGGGAAGCCCCTCCAAGTTCCTGCGAACATTGGTATTTTGTTGATATTCCCATGAATCATGAATGTTCTTAATGGCATCTAGAATGGTGAATCTTTCCAGGAGGTTTTCAATTGACTTTTCCCAGAAACAACAGAGGAATCACCACCTATGGCAGCTATAGCTTTATACAATGGATTTCTTAAATAATATGACTTGAATTTGAAATTCCTTCCTGGTCCATGGATGCGGAATGGATGCTGTGTTTGCAGCATGAAAACAACATGAATCTTGTTGTCCATCTCCATCAGAGCTTTGCATGACCATGTGTGTGGTCAAAGAGCACTGACATTTTAAAAGGAATCTTTTTCTGAGCAGAAGGTCTCAACAATGGGCCTAAAATCTTGCAGGAAACCATGTGGTAAACAGATGTGCTGTCATTCAGGCTTTGTTATCCCATTTCCAAAGCACATGCACAGTGCATTTACCTTAATTCTTAAGGGCCCCTTCACTTGTGTGGGGGACTCCCAGGTGGCTCAGTGGTAAAGAATCCACCTGCCAATTCAAGAGACACGAGTTCGATCCCTGGGTCAGGAAGATCCCCTGGAGGAAGAAATGGCAACCCACTTCAGTATTGTTGCCTGGGAAATTCCATGGACAGAGGAGCCTGGTGGGCTACAGTCCATGGGGTGGAAAGAGCTGGACATGACTGAGCGACTGAGCACACATGCACTTGTGGCCCCTTCATGCTCTGAGCTGGATCTTCTGGAAAACTTGCTGCAGCTTCTCCATCAGCACTTGCTGCTTCACTTTGCCCCTTACGCTGTAAAAATGGCTTCTTTCCTTAAACTTCATGAACCAATCCCTGTGGCTTCAGACTTTTCTTCTGCAGCTTCCTCTCCTCTCTCGGCCTTCACAGAACTGAAGAGTCAGGGCCTTGCTCTGCATGAGGGAATACTGTATTAAGGGAATACTGTAGCTGGTTTGATCTTCTATCGGGGCCACTA